ACAGAAAATACACGAGGGCCACTTGGGTGAGGAAAAATGCAAACAACGAGCATGAGAAGTAATGTACTGGCCATGAATGAACCAGGAAATCAGCCAGACCACTGCTTCATGTGAACTGTGTTTGACCTACAGGCCAAAGCAGCAAGCAGAACCGCTAATGCCTCATCCAGTACCCAACCGACCCTACTACAAAGTTGGAGTTGACCTTTTTGACTGCAATGGCAAACGTCACATTGTTGTTACCGACTACTGCTCAAACTACCCTGAAGTAGCAACACTGCCAACTACCTCCAGCAAATCTGTAATCACCTACCTGAAATCAGTCTTCGCAAGACATGGGGTTGCGTCTGAACTGTACTCGGACAATGGCCCGCAGTTCTCAAGTTCTGAATTCTGATCGTTCGCTAATGACTGGGGATTCCGACACAACACCTCCAGCCCCAACTACCCAAGGTCCAACGGCTTAGCAGAAAGTTCAGTCAAAATTCTCAAAGGTCTGATGAAAAAGGCACGTGATGGAAAGGAGGACTTCCTAAAAAGTCTGATGATCTACCGCAGCGCACCGCTGCAGAATGGACTTTCACCTGCACAAATGTTGATGGGACGTCGCATCAGAACCAACCTACCATCCACGAGGACTTGCTAACACCCAGAGGTGCTCACAACGTCAAACTCGCTAAGGAAAAACAGAAAGACAAACAAAAACAGCGACACGTACCTGAACTGAAACCTGGAGATCATGTACGACTCCGAGACATCACTACAGGAACCTGGATGCAGCAAGGGTGCGTGCAGAGAGAAGTTGCACCGCGATCCTATAAGATCCAAACGGCGCATGGATCACAACGGAGATGAAACAGAGTGGATCTAAGGCTTCAGCCATTCACTCAAGGGACTGAGGATCATCAGGAGGATACTGCTGAAGCGTCAAATGCCTTTACCAATGGATAATTCAGTCAGAACACCCTGACTGACAATGAACGCTGTCCAACTGCTTCAGGAAGCACTTCAGCAGAACGACCAAAAAGGACTGTCAAAGCCCCTGAAAGGCTTATTGAGAATTGCTAAAATATATATATACATATTAAAAAAAGGGGCACCTGGATTGTTTTTGTTTATGTGAAAAGAAATAGAGCCACAATAGAGTATTGTTGGACAGAGAGTGCATTTAGTTGAGAAAAAAAAGGGGGGTAAGAAATGTGTGTTATTGAAAATTGCATGTTATGCTGGTTGAGTAAACAAATGTGATATGACATGTTTAGTTACAGAGAAAAATTAGTTTTCTTTTAAAGGAAGGAAAATGTGTTGTTATGTGTTAATAACATGAAGACTACGTTACCCAGCAGGCTATGCGAGGGGGGGAAGTTGAAGTATGCCTTGCATGGCTAAACAAGGAGATTGCTAGCTAAAGTATCAGTTTATTAAAAGTAGTTCAACCTACGCCCCGGTTTGTCATTATTCAAAGGAACAAACATAACACTAACCACCTCTGCTAGGGCAAGTAAAATGGTCAGAGTGAGGTGTTCTCTCATTTGTGTCTGGAAGTAGCTAGCAAGCTAGCCAACTTTAGCCAGTTAGCTTGGGTGATTGACTGCCATTGCGAGGTCAGAACGCTCGGATCAGCCCTACTCCTCCGCCAGAGCGAAAAGCTCTGAATTTACAAACAGACAATCTGACAAGGCTCTGAATTTATGAACGCCAAAAGCCCCTCAGAGCTCACTCTGGCACTTCAGAGTGAATTTATGAGCACTCTAGTAAACTGTCTACCTACTTCAGTGAATGTTTAACACATTTCTACCTGCAAAAAATTCACACATTTTAGGGGTTCCATGGAAAATAATGCAGCCTCCAGTCTTCTTGGGTATGACGCTACAAGCTTGGCACACCTGTATTTGGGGAGTTTCTCACATTCTTCTCTGAAGATCCTCTCAGGCTCAGTCAGGTTGGATGGGGAGCGTTGCTGCACAGCTATTTTCAGGTCTCTCCAGAGATGTTCGATCAAGTTCAAGTCTGGGCATTGGCTGGGCCACTCAAGGACATTCAGAGACTTGTCCCGAAGCCATTCCTGCGTTGTCTTGGCTGTGTGCTTAGGGTCATTGTCCTGTTGGAAGGTGAACCTTCGCCCCAGTCTGAGGTCCTGAGCGCTCTGGAGCAGGTTTTCGTCAAGGATCTCTCCGTACTTTGCTCCATTAATCTTTGCCTCGATCCTGACTAGTCTCTCAGTCCCTGCCGCTGAAAAACATCCCCACAGCATGATGCTGCCACCACCATGCTTCACCATAGGGATGGTGCCAGGATTCCTCCAAATGTGACGCTTGGCATTGAGGCAAAATAGTTCAATCTTGGTTTCATCAGACCAGAGAATCTTGTTTCTCATGGTCTGAGAGTCTTTAGGTGCCTTTTGGCAAACTCCAATCGGGCTGTCATGTGCCTTTTACTGAGGAGTGGCTTCCGTCTGGCCACTCTACCATAAAGGCCTGGTCGGTGGAGTGCTGCAGAGATGGTTGTCCTTCTGGAAGGTTCCCCCATCTCCACAGAGGTACTCTAGAGCTCTGTCAGAGTGACCATCAGGTTTTTGGTCACCTCCCTGACCAAGGCCCTTCTCCCCCGATTGCTCAGTTTGGCCGGGCGGCCAGCTCTAGGAAGACACTTGGTGGTTCCAAACTGCTTCTATTTAAGAATGATGGAGGCCACTGTCTTCTTGGGGACCTTCAATGCTGCAGAAATGTTTTGGTACCCTTCCCCAGATTTGTGCCTCGACACAATCCTGTCTTGGAACTCTATGGACAATCCCTCGACCTCATGGCTTGGTTTTTGTTCTGATATGCACTGTCAACTTATATAGACAGGTGTGTGCCTTTCCAAATCATGTCCAATCAATTGAATTTACCACAGGTGGACTCCAATCAAGTTGTAGAAACATCTCAAGGATGATCAATGGAAACAGGATGCACCTGAGCTCAATTTCGAGTCTCATAGCAAAGGGTCTGAATACTTATGTAAATAAGATATTTCTGTTTTTTAATACATTTGCAAAAACATCTAAACATCTGTTTTTGCTTTGTCATTGTGGGGTATTGTGTGTAGATTGCTGAGGATTTATGTATTTATTTAATTCATTTTAGAATAAGGCTGTAACGTAACAAAATGTGGAAAAAGTCAAGCGATCTGAATACTTTCCGAAGGCACTGTACATGCATGCGGCATCCTCTGCTTTAAAACCTTTCGATTCAGTCTATCATTCAGCACTGCGTTTTATCACTGGGGACAATTTTCGTACACATCACTGCATTTTGTATAGTTCTGTTGTCTGGGAGTCTCTGACTATATATTGATATTATTTATTGTATGTTCATGTTCACAGGGGGCTCCCTTGCAAATGAGACCCTGGTCTCAATGGTGACCCACCCTCCATAACTAAAAGTTACAAATCAATCAATAATAATAACAAAAATATATTGTATTATTTAGCATTTCTGTTGAAAGTTTACACAAATACTGGTATGTTGAAAGCTATTGTGTAGGCTATATTTAAAGAAATACAAATATGTGTTATTGGGATTACTCAATAGAGTCTGCTAAATTTAAAATGGGTCTCTTGTGCTGCACAACAGGTTTAAGACAGAGTACTGGTGAGTCCTTACTCCACCCACTCCAACACAATACATGGTATATGGGATACAGCCCCCCTCCAAAACGAACCATATGCTGCTGGCTTTTCACTCCGCCCCCTTTATAGCGCCCAATGCGACACAGCCCCCCCCTCCAAAACGAACCATATGCTGCTGGCTTTTCACTCCGCCCCCTCTATAGCGCCCAATGCGACACAGCCCCCCCCCCTCCAAAACGAACCATATTTGATTAGTAGAGTCCCTTCTGAGTATTTCCCACTTTAGCTGAGACAGATAGAAACCTTTTCTCTTTACAAGCCAATATGTATCCCATGTACGGTTGAAGTCGGATGTTTACATACACCTTAGCCAAATACATTTAAACTCAGTTTTTCACAATTCCTGACATTTAATCCTAATAAAAATTCCCTGTCTTAGGTTATTTAGGATCACCACTTTATTTTAAGAATGTGAAATGTCAGAATATTAGTAGAGAGAATGATTTATTTCAGCTTTTATTTATTTCATCACATTCCCAGTGGGTCAGAAGTTTACATACACTAAATTAGTATTTGTTAGCATAGCCTTTAAATTCTTTAATTTGAGTCAAACGTTTCGGGTAGCCTTCCACAAGCTTCTCACAATAAGTTGGGTGAATTTTGGCCCATTCCTCCTGACAGAGCTGGTGTAACTGAGTCAGGTTTGTAGGCCTCCTTGCTCGCACGCACTTTTTCAGTTCTGCCCACAAATTTGTGGAGTGGTTGAAAAACGAGTTTTAATGACTCCAACCTAAGTGTATGTAAACTTCCGACTTCAACTGTACATAGTCGCTGGAAGTAGTTTGATGATGATGTTTTGGGTCTTTGCCCATAACTTTGCACCTTTTGATGTAAATGTTTGAGGGACAGGGTTTTGTTCTTTCTGGATTCCATTAGAATGATAATAGCGTAAAGGGACAGGGCAACAACTCTTACAATTTCAACTGTTGAACCCTGCAAGATACTGTTCTTAATTATACAACTACCTTTTTTGGCAAAGCTGAGATGCTGAAAACTATTTTTTGCCTGCGCTACAGACGTCTGTATTGGTTTGCTAATACAGGACTAGTAAAAAAATTAAAAAGATTGGTATTACAAAAAAACGTTATTTGATTTCATAAATTACTCATAGCATTTTCTTGTTGTCACAATAGAGGTGGCCATTTATTAAAATTCTATATCTTTTGAATGAGTTATCCACATTGCGATGTTTTGAAAATGCGGGCTTTTATTTTGAACGTTTTGACATTAACATACAACTCTGACGTCATCGTTTGTGCTGCTGGCAGAATGCTAGCGGATTCTGTTTCTGTATTGATATCCATAAGAGCGCTGTGGCCGCATGCAATTACCCAAATCCCACGACCTAGACACAGGGTACCGACAACCCGAAGGGGACGATAGCCATGACCATGACGCCTTTGTCACTGTCGAGTCTGTTAAAGAATAAGGATTCTCTGCAGAAGTTCATTTGCTACAATGCCTTCCACGCGCAGCACGACATACCACGGTACTTCGGAAACCGAACGCCGTGGAAGAAGGCTCGGTTATGGGAGCGAAATTTCAGTGCAGTGTCCCGCAGTAGGTTGGCAGAACAACCCTGGGCCAAAAACTATGCCAAGGAAGCTACTATGTGTACCACTTCTGTAAGTGGCCAGGACATGACAAACTGGTTGTGGTCTATTTACAACGAAACCAAAAAACAGACCGAAGGTAGGGCATGCGTTTGTTGAATACCATGTAAACAAGTCTCCAATCCATAAATGGTTGAGGATCAGTGGAGGCTGCTGAGGGGAGGACGGCTCACAATAAGGGCTGGAACGGTGCGAATGGGATGGCATCAAACACATAGAAACCATAGAAACCATGTGTTTGATGTATTTGATACCATTCCACCTATTCCACTCCAGTTATTACCACGAGCCCGTCCTCCCCAATTAAGGTACCACCAACCTCCTGTGGTGAGGATGTTAAACAATAATGTCCAATCCCTAATTCCATTTATTCCTTTGAAGAAGCTAGGTGTAACTTGTTACTCACTGTACCAGGGGTGGCATGTTAATAACAAGTACACTATTATTGTACCAGATATTGTACAAGGTTATTGTAGTTATTGTATCAAATACTTATTATTGTTCCAGTTGGGAGACACTGGACATCACCTGGTGGTGAGCGACCAGGACTCTCAGTGTCACACTGAATCGACATAAACTGTGATATTGGCATGCTATTTTGCACAGTAAAAGCCTACTGCCCATCCTGTTGTCTCTGGAAGTGGACCCATCGTGTGTAACATATCATAGCAGGGGCCAAGGGGTCCCCCTAGTGGCAGTTGTTCTACACTACACACATACGCCTTATAATGCAGACCTAAAATAAAAAATACATAACAAATAAAAAAATAAATAAATATCGTTTAGCTAGAAACCTATATGATATTGTTGACAAGCTTTTCGCTACAAGCATTTCACTACACCTGCAATGACATCTGCTAAATATGTGTAGGTGACCATACAACTTGATTTTGATTTTGAGGTAATTCAAAGGTCACGGATGCATCATTATTCATGTCACTAATCAGCAAGGGCACGGCGAGGCCTGTATTAATCTGCAGAGGGGCAATAGATTTGACCAACATTGACACAACACATCAAGAGAGCACCCTCTTTTGTCCTTCTCCTTTAGCCCTGGTCCCTGTGATATCTAAGAACAGTGCGAACCCCAACAGCATCTTTGCCAACAACGAGATGAGTCTGGAGGACATCGAGATCTATGGGTTTGACTATGACTACACTCTGGCCTTCTACTCCAGACACCTCCACACCCTCATCTTTAACATCGCCAGGGACATCCTCATCCAGGAGCACAGGGTAATGTCTGTTCCTCTAGCCTGGTCCTGGGTCAGATCTGTAGCAGAGGGTATTTTAATGTGACAGAGATGAAGAGGCACAGCAGAGGAACAGTAGCCTGATCCCAGATCTGTTAGTGCTGACAACTCCTATGGTAATTGTCATACAGGCAATTCCACGATAACAGAATTACGCTCTGACTCAGATTGTTCATTTTATAATGTATGCCAAACAAAAACCATTGATTTCAAAGTTTAATAAACTATACAACCCTATGCACAAGGACAAGGACTACTTTGAACAATTTGCACAGAACATTTCACTAAAATACATTTTACTGGAAGAACTGTGCAGATGCTAAATTTGGTAACAGAATTACGGTAAAATCTCCCTCAGTTTTTTATGCAACTACTTTTTCCAAAAACTCTAACTATCTGCTCCGAATTAAGATTCAAAGATGTCTGCAGAAAGAATGGGGTGTCAGCTATGACATAACACCTTGAGGTTAAAAAAATGCCTTTTGGTTACTGAAATGTAGTTTAGGAAAGTTCAAATCAAGAAGGCTGGTCTGAATGCTCGTTTAACTTCATTCAGTAAGCATTCCTTCCAGTTCTCTGCTGCCAATGACTGGAACGAATTGCAAAAATCTCTGAAGCTGGAGACTCTTATCTCCCTCACTAACTTTAAGCATCAGTTGTCAGAGCACCTTACCGATCACTGCACCTGTACACAGCCCATCTGAAATTAGCCCACCCAACTACCTCATCCCCATATTGTTATTTATTTTGCTCTTTTGCACCCCAGTATCTCTATTTGCACATAATCTCTTGCACATCTATCATTCCAGTGTTAATACTAATTGTAATTATTTTGCACTATAGCCTATTTATTGCCTTACCTCCATAACTTGCTACATTTGCACACACTGTATATATATTTTCTGTTGTATTTTTTGACTTTATGTTTTTTTTACCCCATATGTAACTCTGTGTTGTTGTTTTTATCGCACTGCTTTGCTTTATCTTGGCCAGGTCGCAGTTGTAAATGAGAACTTGTTCTCAACTGGCTTACCTGGTTAAATAAAGGTGAAATAAAAATAAATAAATAAATAACATAATTCACTTTGTTTCCTGTTCTAGGGGCATTGTGGGAGAAAGAGTACAAATGTATCGTCATCATCATAGCGTCTTGTTTCTCCTCCTCTTTCCTATTAGCCAAGTGAGGAATGTCATTCACCTATTGATCTTATAGCCTGTAAGCACGGCACAATGATGCACATTCCTCACGCTTGCTGTTCAACCTATGGGCTCACTCTTGCAATTATCACCTTCCTCCCTCTCTACCAATGGGCGTAAATCTTGGGATGAATTTATATGTCAACTTACCCATGCTCTCTCACTTGCTGTTTTTCAGCATACGTTTTCAACAACCAGCCACCTCCCCACCACCACCAGCTATAATATCCTTAAGGCCCATCATTGGAACTACTTTACCCCAGCTGGGTTTTTCCATCCCTGCAGTACCGCATAGGGCTATCTCCCATCACATCATCTGGTTCCTAGGATACCGCATAGGGCTATCTCCCATCACATCATCTGGTTCCTAGGATGCCGCATAGGGCTATCTCCCATCACATCATCTGGCTCCTAGGATACCGCAAAGGGCTATCTCCCATCACATCATCTGGCTCCTAGGATACCGCATAGGGCTATCTCCCATCACATCATCTGGCTCCTAGGATCTTCCCTCTGAGACGAGGCAATTCGACAGACTATTTAATAAAATGTCGTAATTTATTCCATCTTTGTTCATTCAGTTAAGCCTGTACTCGATTGAATTACAGTAGGTGAAGTGGATTTACATCCGGTAATGGAATTATGGTAACGGAATTACATGATGAGTCCCTGATCTGTACTATTCAGAAATGCATGATTTATGGATTTGAATTTGAATATCATTCTCTTCATGGGGATGTATCCTGAGTAGGTACACAAAGGTAGAAATATGCAATATCCTTATTTTGCATATTTGAGTATTATTCTACACATTGGCTATTATTTTAATGAGCTCCGCCCCCCCCAAACAAGACCACATTTGGTTGTTCCCGGACCAGACCAAATCTGAAACAATCATAGACGTCTATGTTTCATAAGTTTGGACATCACAGTAGAGTAGAGTACAGTCCCCATCCTATATCTCAGATATTTTATCTCCCTACGAGCCAGGATGCAGCCTGAGATCCTCTGGCAGGGCACTGTTGATCATTCCAGGGATGCTTTCTGCCATTGTAATCCTTGGGCGAGCCGCCTAAGCGTTTTTTCAGGTCGCCTAAGTCCAAACAGTGTAAAAAAAATGTTTTTTTGACATACAGTACCAGTCAAAAGTTTGGACACACCTACTCATTCCAGGGTTTTTCTTTATTTTTTTACTATTTTCTACATTGTAGAATAACAGTGAAGACATCAAAACTATGAAATAACACATATGGAATCATGTAAGTAACCAAAGTGTTAAACAAATGAAAATATATTTTATGTTTGAGATTCTTCAAAGTAGCCACCCTTTGCCTTGATGACAGCTTTGCACACTCTTGGCATTATTATTATTAGATTATGCAGACAATCTGGAATTTTCATTACAGTAATACTTCTGTACTTGGACTGTACTTTTCTTTACTGTTCTGTACTGTTCTCTAATCTCTACTGTGCTCTACTGTACTGTACTGTGCTGTCCAAACTTGTGAAACATAGATTTCTATGATTGGCTCAGATTTTGTCCGGCGCGGGCTGGCTGACCAAATTTCAACTACTTTTCAACATCAATAGATGTCCGGTGCTCAGTGGGTGAGGATGCTTGTTACAGTAAATGGAAAGAGGGTAGGTGATAAGTCGGGAGAGGTGACGTTGACTGTAGAGCGAGCGGCAGAGAGAGGGAGGGGTTGTCCAGACTATTTTCAGTCTTGCTTTGACCACCAGATGACAGAAAGAGAAAAAAACCAGTTATGAGCTGAACGTAACAGTATGCCAGTGGAAGGGAGGACAGTAGCAGGAGACCCTATGAGCTGAACATAACAGTCTGCCAGTGGAAGGGAGGACAGTAGCAGGAGACCCTATGAGCTGAACGTAACAGTCTGCCAGTGGAAGGGAGGACAGTAGCAGGAGACCCTATGAGCTGAACGTAACAGTCTGCCAGTGGAAGGGAGGACAGTAGCAGGTGACCCTATGAGCTGAACGTAACAGTCTGCCAGTGGAAGGGAGGACAGTAGCAGGAGACCCTATGAGCTGAACGTAACAGTCTGCCAGTGGAAGGGAGGACAGTAGCAGGAGACCCTATGAGCTGAACGTAACAGTATGCCAGTGGAAGGGAGGACAGTAGCAGGAGACCCAGCTGTGGTTTGTGACTAGAGAGTCATCTTAAAACCTACTCTGAGAGTTTTTTTTAAAGTCCTAAAACATGTTTTAACATGATTCCTAGGACCTCTTCTGAGATGCTTAGTGGATACGGCCCCAGGTCTGATTGTGCAGTATAACCAAAACCTTTGGTCGTTGGCAGGCCAAACTAGCACTGGCATAAGACTGCACTCACTGCCACATGAAAGACCACTCTGCTCCAGATACATATGAATCAATCATATTAACTGAAAGCTGCTATATTATGTAATTCTGTTGGACTTGACGAAGCACAGACCATGTCTTTGTTCGTAACCTTGACAACCCCCCCCCCCCCCCCCCCCCCCCAATTTGATTCAACACTTGCCATATTTTTCCAAAGAGAGAGATATTATATTTATGCTGTCAGTGTCACCCTGTTAAAGTTGACAAATGATCTTCTAATAGTCGTGAGACAATCTTTGGACAAAAATGAGAATTGAGTTAAAGTAGTGTTTTTTTATATTCAGCCTTTTCAAGATGTTCCTCTGTGAATTAGTATAACTGTACTTTCTGCAAAGCAAAGAACGAAGATTGAATGAGCGTTTCAAAACCGTATCTTAAATTTAGACCTCCATCTTCAATAAATGATAAACATGGATCCTTGTTTTCTGTTCCTCTCCAAGCTTTAGTGATAACATCTCATTTTCTTCTGCCTTTAGTACCCTGAGGGCTTGCGAGAGTACGAGTACATCCCTAACTTTGTTGTCAGGGGACTGCACTATGATGTCCAAAAGGCTTTACTGATGAAGATAGATGCCTTTCACTACATACAGCTGGGAACAGTATACAGGTATGTGCAGTCTAGGGATTACTAGGAATACATTAATTAAAGGCCCAGTGCAGTCAAATGTGTGATTTCCCTTTGTTTATATATATATAAATCTCCACACTATGAGGTTGGAAAAAACTGTGAAATTGTGAAAATGATGATAATGCCCTTTTAGTATAAGAGCTGTTTGAACAGACCACCTGGAATTTCAGCCTGTTTTGGTGGGATGGAGTTTTGGCCTGCCTAGTTAGACCAATAAGAAAGAGTTCCAAACCTCTTTGCCAATAACAGCTAGTTTAACAGCTAGTTTTCCCCTCCCCATTCAGACCACTCCCAGACAGTCCTACAGTGAGGGGATAAAAGTATTTGATCCCCTGCGGATTTTGTACGTTTGCCCACTGACAAACACATGATCAGTCTATAATTTTAATTGTAGGTTTATTTGAACAGTGAGAGACAGAATAACAACAAAAAAATCCAGAAAAACGCATGTCAAAAATGTTATAAATTGATTTGCATTTTAATGAGGGAAATAAGTATTTGACCCCTCTGCAAAACATGACTTAGTACATGGTGGCAAAACCCTTGTTGGCAATCACAGAGGTCAGACGTTTCTTGTAGTTGGCCACCAGGTTTGCACACATCTCAGGAGGGATTTTGTCCCACTCCTCTTTGCAGATCTTCTCCAAGTCATTAAGGTTTCGAGCCTGACGTTTGGCAACTCGAACCTTCAGCTCCCTCCACATATTTTCTATGGGATTAAGGTCTGGAGACTGGCTAGGCCACTCCAGGACGTTAATGTGCTTCTTCTTGAGCCACTCCTTTGTTGCCTTGGCCGTGTGTTTTGGTTCATTGTCATGCTGGAATACCCATCCACGACCCATTTTCAATGCCCTGGCTGAGGGAAGGAGGTTCTCACCCAAGATTTGACGGTACATGGCCCCGTCCATCGTCCCTTTGATGCGGTGAAGTTGTCCTGTCCCCTTAGCAGAAAAACACCCCCAAAGCATATTGTTTCCACCTCCATGTTTGACAGTGGGGATGGTGTTCTTGGGGTCATAGGCAGCATTCCTCCTCCTCCAAACACGGCGAGTTGAGTTGATGCCAAAGAGCTCCATTTTGGTCTCATCTGACCACAACACTTTCACCCAGTTCTCCTCTGAATCATTCAGATGTTCATTGGCAAACTTCAGACGGGCCTGTATATGTGCTTTCTTGAGCAGGGGGACCTTGCGGGCGCTGCAGGATTTCAGTCCTTCACAGCGTAGTGTGTTACCAATTGTTTTCTTGGTGACTATGGTCCCAGCTGCCTTGAGATCATTGACAAGATCCTCCCGTGTAGTTCTGGGCTGATTCCTCACCGTTCTCATGATCATTGCAACTCCACGAGGATGAGATCTTGCATGGAGCCCCAGGCCGAGGGAGATTGACAGTTCTTTTGTGTTTCTTCCATTTGCGAATAATCGCACCAACTGTTGTCACTTTCTCACCAAGCTGCTTGGCGATGGTCTTGTAGCCCATTCCAGCCTTGTGTAGGTCTACAATCTTGTTCCTGACATCCTTGGAGAGCTCTTTGGTCTTGGCCATGGTGGAGAGTTTGGAATCTGATTGATTGATTGCTTCTGTGGACAGGTGTCTTTTATACAGGTAACAAGCTGAGATTAGGAGCACTCCCTTTAAGAGTGTGCTCCTAATCTCAGCTCGTTACCTGTATAAAAGACACCTGGGAGCGAGAAATGTTTCTGATTGAGAGGGGGTCAAATACTTATTTCCCTAATTAAAATGCAAATCAATTTATAACATTTTTGAAATACGTTTTCTTGTTGTTATTCTGTCTCTCACTGTTGAAATAAACCTACCATAAAAATTATAGACTGATCATTTCTTTGTCAGTGGGCAAACGTACAAAATCAGCAGGGGATCAAATACTTTTTTCCCTCACTGTAGCTAAATTCTTGCTTGAGAAATAGCTCTTTGCTAAGAAGCCATTTTTGTTTATTTTTGACCATTTTTAATTTAAAACAATCACAATAAGGTACTTAACTTTTAGCTAGAAATGATTTGATATTGAGATGAAAACGGCTGCATTGGACCTTTTAAGCTATGACCATGCTCTATCTGTGTAACTATACTGCCATGTTTATCTACACTACTGCTCAAAATTATTTTTTAAACCCATTTCTCCAGTTTTTATTGAAATTTAAGCAGTTTAAGTCCAGTGAATAACCTGAAACGGTACAAAGGTAAGCAGTAAACTGCCAGAGGTATAAAAAATAAAAAAATAGTTTAGGTTACCAAAAACGGAAATATAATGTACACTACCGTTCAAAAGTTTGGGGTCACTTAGCAATGTCCTTGTTTTCGAAAGAAAAGCAATTTTATTGTCCATTAAAATAACATCAAATTCATCAGAAATACAGTGTAGACATTGTTAATGTTGTAAATGGCTATTGTAGCTGGAAACGGCAGATTTACATAGGCGTACAGAGGCCCATTTATCATCAACCATCAGTCCTGTGTTCCAATGGCACGTTGTGTTTGCTAATCCAAGTGTATAATTTTAAAAGGCTAATTGATCATTAGAAAACCCTTTTGCAATTATGTTAGCACAGCTGAAAACTGTTGTGCTGATTAAAGAAGCAATAAAACTGGCCTTCTTGAGACTAGTTGAGTATCTGGAGCATCAGCAATTGTGGGTTCGATTAAGGCTCAAAATGGCCAGAAACAAATAACTTTATTCTGAAACTCATCAGTCTATTCTTGTTCTGAGAAATTAAGGCTATTCTATGCGAGAAAATGCCAAGAAACTGAAGATCTCGTACAACGCTGTGTACTACTCCCTTCACAGAACAGCGCAAACTGGCTCTAACCAGAATAGAAAGAGGAGTGGGACAACTGAGCAAGAGGACAAATACGTTAGAGTGTCTAGTTTGAGAAACAGACGCCTCACAGGTCCTCAACTGGCAACTTCATTAAATAGTACCCACAAAACACCAGTCTCAACATCAACAGTAAAGAGGTGACTCCGGGATGCTGACCTTCTAGGCAGAGTTGCAAAGAAAAAGTCATATCTCAGACTGGCCAATAAAAAGAAAAGATTAAGATGGGCAGTCTGAGATATGGCTTTTTCTTTGCAACTCTGCCTAGAAGGTCAGCATCCCGGAGTCGCCTCTTCACTGTTGACGTTGAGACTGGTGTTTTGCGGGTACTATTTAATGAAGCTGCCAGTTGAGGACCTGTGAGGCGTCATACCGCTCAGGAAGGAGATGCGTTCTGTCTCCTAGAGATTAACGTACTTTGGTGCGAAAAGTGCAAATCAATCCCAGAACAACAGCAAAGGACCTTGTGAAGATGCTGGAGGAAACAGGTACAAAAGTATCTATATCCACAGTAAAAAAAGTCCTATATCAACATAACCTGAAAGGCCGCTCAGCAAGGAAGAAGCCACTGCTCCGAAACCGCCATAGAAAAGCCAGATTATGGTTTGCAACTGCACATGGTGACAAAGAATGTACTTTTTGGAGAAATATCCTCGGGCTGATGAAACAAAAATAGAACTGTTTGCCCATTATGACCATCGTTATGTTTGGAGGAAAAAGGGGGATGCTTGCAAGCCGAAGAACACCATCCCAATCGTGAAGCACGGGGGTGGCAGCATCATGCTGTGGGGGTGCTTTGCTGCAGGAGGGACTGGTGCACTTCACAAAATAGATGGCATCATGAGGAAGGAAAATGTTGTGGATATATTGAAGCAACATCTCAAGACATCAGTCAGGAAGTTAAAGCTTGGTCGCAAATGGGTCTTCCAAATGGACAATGACCCCAAGCATACTTCCACAGTTGTGGCAAAATGGCTTAAGGACAACAAAGTCAAGGTATTGGAGTGGCCATCACAAAGCCCTGACCTCAATCCTATAGAAAATGTGTGGGCAGAACTGAAAAAGCGTGTGCGAGCAAGAAGGCCTACAAACCTGACTCAGTTACACCAGCTCTGTCAGGAGGAATGGGCCAAAATTCACCCAACTTATTGTGGGAAGCTTGTGGAAGGCTACACGAAACGTTTGAACCAAGTTATACAATTTAAAGGCAATGCTACCAAATACTAATTGAGTGTATGTAAACTTCTGACCCGCCCGGCCAAACTGAGCAATCGGGGGTAAAGGGCCTTGGTCAGGGAGGTGACCAAAAACCTGATGGTCACTCTGACAGAGCTCTAGAGTTCATCTGTGGAGATGGGAGAACCTTCCAGAAGGACAACCATCTCTGCAGCACTCCACCAATCAGGCCTTTATGGTAGAGTGGCCAGACGGAAGCCACTCCTCAGTAAAAGGCACATGACAGCCCACTTGTAATTTGCCAAAAGGCACCTAAAGACTCTCAGACCATAAGAAACAAGCTTATCTGTTCTGATGAAACCAAGATTGATTTCTTTGGCCTGAATGCCAAGCGTCACGTTTGGAGAAAACCTGGCACCATCCCTACGGTAAAGCATGGTGGGGGCAGCATCAAGCTGTGGGGATGTTTTTCAGCAGCAGGGACTGGGGGACTAGTCAGGATCAAGGCAAAGATGAACGGAGCAATGTACCTTGATGAAAACCTGCTCCAAAGCGCTCAGGACCTCAGACTGGGGCGAAGGTTCACCTTCCAACAGGACAACGACCTTAAGCACACAGCCAAGACAACGCAGGAGTGGCTTCAGGACAAGTCTCTGAATGTCCTTGAGTGGCCCAGCCAGAGCCCGGACTTGAATCTGATCGAACATTTCTGGAGAGACCTGAAAATAGCTGTGCAGCGACGCTCCCCATCCAACCTGACAGAGCTTGAGAGGATCTTCAGAGAAGAATGGGATAAACTCCCCAAATACAGGTGTGCTAAGCTTGTAGCGTCATACCCAAGATGACTCATGGCTTCTTCAACTAAGTACTGAGTAAAGGGTCTGAATACTTATGTAAATGTGATATTTCTGTTTTTTATTTATTTGATAAATTAAACAAAATGTCTAAAAACCTGTTTTTGCTTTGTCATTACGGGGTATTGTGTGTAGATTGATGAGGAAAAAAAGCAATTTTAATCAATTTTAGAATAAGGCTGTAAAGTCACTAAATGTGGAAAAGGTCAAGGGGTCTGAACACTTTCCGAAGGCACTGTATATAACTATACAGTATATAACTATACAGTAGATAGTGTATACTTTATAGGCCTGAAATTCAGTTAATGTTAATCGTTACCAGTATTTCCTGGTTTAGGAAAAAAAAGGTTGGTTCAGTGCAGCAGGACAAACGTGTGTTCTCTTGTCCCCTGTAGGGGTCTTCAACCGGTACCAGACAAGGAGGTGATTGCCATGTACGATGGCTGCCATGTCCCTCTGGAGAATATGAGTGACTTCTATGGCAAGGTAAGGCCCATATCATCTCCTCCACCCTTCCACAGTCACTATATACAGATCTGCTTCAGTCACCGTGATAAACTGACCCCATTACATTCAGCAGCAAGGCCACTGCATTGCCCAGTCACCCCCAGTCACTCCAGTCGTGAACTGTTTTCCACCCCTTCAGTCAGACACATGATACTGTAGTATTACGTTTCTACCCTGTGGAAACTCAGAACACAGAACCAAATCTCACATGCACTAGATAGCTAGCTACTCAATCTACTTCTGGGTGCAGAGGTGGCAAATAGACATGGTCTCATGTTAACTTCAGTTATGGCTGACATGCATATTGCGTAACCTAGTAACACCTCACTTTACTCATTTCTTATCCTATCTGATCATTCATATCTCTCTCCTCCAGAGTTCCCATGGCCACACTATGAAACAGTTCATGGACATCTTCTCCCTCCCAGAGATGAACCTCCTGTGCTCAGTTAATGACTACTTCTTGAAGCACAATATCGACTACGAGCCTGTCCACCTCTACAAAGACGTCAAGGTAACGAGACCAGAACAGTGATTTTTGCAAAGACACCTGGGTTGTGTTCATTAGGCACAAAATGGAAGAAAACAGTCAGAAAGAGATTAACTGGTACTATCTGAAACAACGTTTTAAAACAGTTTGCTACGGTGTGCCCTAATGAACACAACCTCTCTCAGGAACCATAGGCCAGACCAGAAGGCCAGAATCATAATGCTCCTCTCCATGACAAAGTGGATTCCAGGAATGTGGGAGTTAAATGTATTAATAATGATGCCTTGTTGTGACCGTTGGTTGTGATGCTGTAGTTATTTTAGTGTGCTTCGTGACAGAGGAGAGGCTTCATTTAGGCTTTTGAAAATGGCAGTCTAGTTTTAGAGGAGGCAGCCACACCATCTGTGTCTCTGTCTGGTCTCTGGTGGCTCTGCCTGCGTCTTCAGAAGGAGATATTTTAGTGAAATCTGAGCTGTGTTGTCTTTGTTCCTTTGATGGGCTTGTCAGGGAGGACTGGTACCTGCTTAGTTTCATTCTGCAGTGTCTTTGACAGATCAGTGTCATCATAATGAAAACCTGGCTTCATACTCACTCACTCACTCACTCACTCACTTCACAATATATCCACTAGATTAGACACCTTCTCAAGTTTCAATTGATCACAGGGAATGTGAAGACACCCCTACTCCCCCATGCCTTCCCATGCCCTCATCTCCCCCCTCCTCTCCCTTTCCCCTCCTCTCCTCCCTCTCCTTCCCTCCTCTCCCCCCTCCTCTCCTCTCCTCTCCTCTCCTCTCCCTCCTCTCCCCCTCCACTCCTCTCCTCTCCCCTCTCCTCTCCCTCTTCTCCTCTCCCCCTTCCCTCCTTTCCCCCTCCATTCCTCTCCTCTCCTTTCCCTCTCCTCTCCTCTCCTTAATTCCCCCCCCTTCCTCTCCTCTCTCCCTCTCCTCTCCTCTCCTCCCCTCCTCTCCTCGTCCTCCCTCTCCTCTCCTCTCCCTCCTCTCCTCTCCTTCCTCTCCTCTCCTCTCTCTCCTTCCTCTCCTCTCTCTCCTCCCCCTTCCCTCCTTTCCCCCCCTCCCTCCTCTCCTCTCCTCCTCCCTCTCCTCTCCTCTCCCCTCCTCCTCTCCTCTCCTCTCCTCCGCTCCTTTCCCCTTTCCTCTCCTCTCCTCTCCTCTCCCTCCTCTCCTCTCCTCTCTTTCCTCCCTCCCCCTTTTCTCCCCTCCCCCCCCCTCCCCCTCCCTTCCCTCCCTTCCCCCCCCCCCCTCTCCCCCCCCCTCCCTCCTCTCCCCCCCCCTCCCTCCCCCCCAAATCCCCCCTTCCCTCCCCCTCCTCCCCTCCTTCCCCTCTCCCCCTCCCTCCTCCCCTCCCCCTCCCTCCTCTCCCCTTACCCTTTTTCCTCCTCTCCTCTCCCCCCCCTTCCTTCCCTCTCTCCCTCTCCCCCTCCCCTCCCTCCCCTTCAAGATGCAATAGGCTTTCATTTGTATTTAGTAAAGCACACCAGTCACATTGTGTGGGGCAATAACCTCAAATCGTATTCTTGTTCTTGTCTTTGTAACTTTTTTGTGTCTTTGTCTTTAGTTTTGTCGATTTTCCAAGGTAACACAATTCAAACTGAGGGGTGGTGTTAGTGCACACTTTGTTAGTACACTGTGGGTTGTGCACTTGTTATACCTGTTTAGTGGGACCTGTTATACACTTTTAGTGCACTTGTTAGTACACCCGTGTTAGTACACGTGTTAGTGCACTGTGTTAGTGCACTGTGTTAGTGCCTGGTTATTCACTGTGTTTACACTGTTTAGTGCACTGTTTGTTCACTGTGTTAGTACACTGTGTTAGTACACTGTGCTAGTGCCTGTGTTAGTGCACTGTGTTAGTACACTGTGTTAGTGCACTGTGTTAGTGCACTGTGTTAGTGCACTGTGTTAGTGCACTGTGTTAGTACACTGTGTTAGTGCACTGTGTTAGTGCACTGTGTTAGTGCACTGTTATGCACTGTGTTAGTGCACTTTCTTAGAACACTTTGTCCACTATGTACTTCTACAAAGTTTTCCAAATATTTTCCATATGGAGGAACATGAATTGTATGTATCGTTCTGTATTCTTCATTCTCCCATATGGAACGCCGTTTGTAACATTCTATAATTTTCAAAAGAAAATATGAATTTCCTGCCACAAATTGCAGCCATTGTAACGTCTCCTCCTCTCTCTCTGTTAACAGGCAGCTATAGGAGATGTCCATGTCAAGGGTATTATGTACCGGGCTGTGGAGGCAGATATCGGTAAGGACAACAATGATCTCTGTGTGTGTTCTCTGACAGACTGTGTATTACTGTATTACTATGCCACTGTGTGATAATGGGGGAAGGGAGTGTGTGCTCTCTGAGTCTTACAACCCAGTGTCTAATGTAACATGTAGTATCTTTCGAAATAATCTCAGGGGTTTGTGCGACTGTGTATGAACATCTGAGAGTTGGATGATAAGAGTACTACATCAAGGTCATTGCCATTGTTGTGTCTCATATCTTCAAACAGATTACTATGAAATATTATTATCCTACTTCCTAGAAGTAATGTTTTTCTGTGCACAATAGCAATTGTCTGGCGGTGGAGCTATGTTTAGACTGTATTATCACTCCTCCCTCCTCCCTCTGCAACTTCCTTTTCCTTTCTTTTGCCCCCCCCCTCTCTCTCCCCCCTTTCTCTCTCTCTCCCTCTCCTCTCTCTCTCTCCTCTCTCCTCTCTCTCTCTCTCCTCCCTTTCTCTCTCTCTCTCTCTCCCTCCCCCGCCTCTCTCGCTCTCTCTTCCCCTCTCTCTCTCTCTTTCTCTCTCTCTCTTACTCTCCCCCCCACCCTCTCGCATTCCCCCCCCCTCTCTGTAGAGAACTATATTTCCTATGGAGAACAGACTCATGCTGTGCTGAAGAAGCTCTATGAGGATGGCAAGAAGATGTTCCTCATCACTAACAGCCCATTTGACTTTGTGTGAGTGTCTCTGACAAATCTCTGCGTGTGAGTGTCTCTGACAAATCTCTGTGTGTGAGTGTCTCAGGCATATCTCTGTGTGTGAGTGTCTCTGACAAATCTCTGTGTGTGAGTGTCTCTGACAAATCTCTGCGTGTGAGTGTCTCTGACAAATCTCTGTGTGTGAGTGTCTCAGGCATATCTCTGTGTGTGAGTGTCTCTGACAAATCTCTGTGTGTGAGTGTCTCTGACAAATCTCTGTGTGTGAGTGTCTCTGACATACAGTATCTCTGGGTGTGAGTGTCTCTGGCATATCTCTGGGTGTGAGTGTCTCAGGCATATCTCTGTGTGTGAGTGTCTCTGACACATCTCTGTGTGTGAGTGTCTCTGACATATCTCTGTGTGTGAGTGTCTCAGGCATATCTCTGTGTGTGAGTGTCTCTGACATACAGTATCTCTGCGTGTGAGTGTCTCAGGCATATCTCTGTGCTGACAGTTCACCACAAAACTTTATACAATTCTAAACTGTGTACTGTTAATATATGAATATATACTATGTTGCTGGAGAGGGTTTTCACAGCCCTATGGTTACATCGTTACACTAGCTTTATTTATCAATTCTGACAATGATAGCAGCATGTCAAATTACTTTGATAAAAAATTGAAAACGGTTGAAAGTACCCAGATGATGAGTTTGCAGACACTGTTGATCTAGGCCTCTCTACGGCAGAGTGTCATGTCTGTGCTACTTTGTTCTATATTGTGTGACTGATTGTAAGTCGTGATAAATGACTCGAATATTCCCAGGGATCGGGGAATGAACTACATTGTGGGGAAGGACTGGAGAGATCTGTTTGACATTGTCATCGCACAGGCCGACAAACCTGGCTTCTTCAACGACAGGAGAAAGTAAGCGTCTCAATTCACTCCCCCCCCCCACCACCCCTTCCGTTTGTCCTGCACTCTTCAATGTGGAAGCAGTGTGGTGGAAGCTTCACCACTACACCACTTGTACCCATCCATTATTTGCCATGTCCAGTTGACCTCCACTGTATGTATTCTGCCGTTTGTCTTCCTCTGTCCGTCGTAGGCCCTTCAGACGAGTGACTGATAAAGGGGTGCTGCATTGGGACAGGATTCACAAGCTGGAGAAGGGGAACATCTACAAACAGGTACTGGACAACGGAATATGTTCTAGGGAAGTCTTTCTCAACCAGGGGTACTAGGACACCTGGTGTATGTGGCTTATTCACGGGGGGGGGGGAGCTTTAACTACTGTTCTAGAGTTAAAGCTCTGTCATACAGACCAGGGAATTACTGACTGTTTCTTTGTTCTGCAGGGAAACCTCTATGAGTTCCTGAGACTGACTGGCTGGAGGGGGTCCAAGGTGTTGTATTTTGGAGATCACATCTACAGTGACCTGGCTGTAAGTCCAATTTCAAACCATTCATTTACACTGCATAGGTTAATATTTAAAATGATCATGTAGAATGTTCACACCATCATAGAAATTACACGGTCTGATGTCATGATATAGGTCTAAGTTAAGTAGCGTTTAAATAAATAAATAAAAAGTCAGCCCGTGATTGAAGTGGCTGGCCTGTTACCGAATCAGAGGTATTTGAGTTGTTCTGTGGTTTATCGACTCCTTAGGTTTAGGTTTGAGGAAAAAACGCTCTATAAATCCTATGTATTATTTTGAACTCTAGGACCTGACCCTGAAGCATGGCTGGAGGACCGGAGCCATCATCCCCGAGCTGAGGAAAGAGATCAAGATCATGAACACTGAGGAGTGTGTCCATCTGATGACCTGGCTACAGGGCCTGACTTGGCTGATAGAACACATGCAGGTAGGTGGAGGGGTGTGTGTGTGTGCTTGCTTGCTTGCGCGTGCGCTTCTGTCTGTCTCTGTCTGTCCGTCTGGTAGCTCTATGCTAACAGCTGTGAACCTAAAGAGCATCTTCTCTGCAGCAAACATTCTCTGCTCTCTCCCTTCCAGGTCCACAGAGACCCAGCTTCTCAAGCTGTCGTTCAGGAGTGGATCAAAGAGAGAGAAACCATGAGGTGCCAGGGGGATTGGGGAAGAGCCCACGAAAGAACCTCAAGATAATCATTATCTCATTTATGATGCGTCCTCTTATTTGCCTAAAGCCTAGAAGAGTTGTTATATGCTATATAGATATGTTGGCAACACTTTCTTTGAAGGGCACCTATAGTACATAATGACTTCGTAACACATTCATAACCAACACTCATAAGCAGATCGGAGAGGTTGAGAGTAGAAGAAGTTCAGGAGCAATAAAAAATAAAAAAAATAAAAAAATATATAATAGAATTATTGTAAAATTAACTCTGTCCATAAGGTGTAGATAGTAAGTATAGACCGGAAGTAGAGGCCTGGGCATTGTTGTTCACTAATTTACTCCAAGTAGGGAAAGGATGGTGGGGTTGAAAAGTAATAAAGGGGAGTATATATATAAAAAAAAAAAAAAAAAAAAAAAAAACTTGGGGGATTGGAAGTGATGCAGACAATTACATTGATAGAAGATACAATATATCTGCAATATTAAGCTGATCCACCCCCCCCCCCCAAAAAAAAATATAAAATAAAAAAATAAAAAATAAATAAATACTAAAATGAGTAAAAAGGAGTAAAAAAAACAGTACAAAAAAAACAGTACAAAAAAAACAAAAAAACAAAAAAAACTCATAAGCAGTATATAATCAATTCCTATAGGAAGGTTTTATGTCTGGGTAATTAATGTTTTCTGAGGTCCTTATGTAGCTTCTCTTCAAATAAAGTCTTACCCATATTTCCCTATAGGTGGCTATACCCATTAAATGTTTGGGAGCATAATTAGAGTGTACAACTTTCTTTCTTTTTACAGATATTTCCCTTGACGTGCATTTTTCGCTTACTAACACTATTGTACATCTTTCGTCATACAACAGATCGCAGACAAAGGACATCTTCAACGGCCAGTTTGGGAGTCTCTTCCGAACGTACCACAACCCCACCTACTTCTCCCGCCGCCTGTCTCGTTTCGCAGACATCTACATGGCGTCTCTCAGCTGTCTGCTCAACTACGACTTCCATCACACCTTCTTCCCCCGTCGTACGCCCCTGCAACACGAGTCACCCTTCTGGCCCGAGCAGACCAGCGCCGGGGCCCTGAAGATGCCCTTCATACCCCACAGAACCACAACTGAAGAGTAGAAAGGGGAGGGGGGAAGGGTTTCAGTGTGACACCCCGTCCCGGGCTTGACTCAGACTGGAGAGGATAGGGAGGACGGGTTTCACTGCGACACTCCGTCAAAGACCTTATCTGAGGAGAGAGGGGAGGGGAGGGAAAAGTTTCATTGTGACACTCTGTCTTGACCTGCTCTGGACACAGAGCTCTCAAATACCCGTTTCATTCTATCATGGCGACCTGAACTATACTGTCATTCCCAGCGCAGTTCCATTAACTATAGCAGACGTGTAAACAAGCCAGCTGAGTAGTCCGTAAGGGGTAGAAGATGGCAGACAGGACTCTGCTGACTTGGACTTACTGTCTCTGTTTTCCACTGACTCCATCTCATGTTGACCTCACGCTGTCAGTAACTTCAATACTGATCTGCTCCGCTTTATAATCTCACTATTACATGTGTAGGTTGAATTTCTAACAGTAAGTAGAGAACACTTAAATATTTCTGCCATGTTTCTGTTTTAGGTTGAAAACTAGCGGTACAGTTGCTTAGTACGCTATACCAAACACTACACAATAAGTTTGCTTGAATGTTCTTGACACACATACAGTATGTACCCAAACAGAGATTTACTCAGATCTGCAGAACTTTCATCCAAACAATATACATGACCCTAAGCATGATGGGATGTTAATTGCTTAATTAACTCATGAACCATACCTGTGTGGAAGCACCTAATTTCAATATACTTTGTATCCCTCATTTACTCAAGTGTTTCAATGATTTTGGAAGTTACCTGTTTATGTGTAAATAAAGGAACAGTTGGTTATAAGGGACTTTAACTAATGGTGGCCTTTGAACCAATAAGAACAGAGAAAGACAAGATATAAACTAATGTGGAGTTGAATAGCTTGAAAATATGATTTGACATTTTCAGTACACACTCTGAAATGCCTTAAGCTTTTGCACACTATAATTGCACTGTAGATACACTACCAGTCAAAAGTTTGGACACACCTACTCATTCAAGGGTTTTTCTTTATTTTTTACAATTTTTTACATTGTAGAATAATAGTGAAGACATCAAAACTATGAAATAACACATATGGAATCAGTAACCAAAAAAGTGTTAAACAAATCAAAATATATTTTATATTCTTCAAATAGCCACCCTTTGCCTTGATGACAGCTTTGCACACTCTTGGCATTCTCTCAAACAGCTTCACGAGGGAGTCACCTGGAATGCATTTCAATTAACAGGTGTGCTTTCTTAAAAGTTAATGTGTGGAATTTCTTTCCTTCTTAATGCGTTTGAGCCAATCAGTTGTGTTGTGACAAGGTAGGGGGGGTGTACAGAAGATAGCCCTATTTGGTAAAAGACCAAGTCCATATTATGGCAAGAACAGCTCAAATAAGCAATGAGAAACGACAGTCCATCATTACTTTAAGACAAGGTCAGTCAATACGGAAAACTTCAAGAACTTTGAAAGTTTCTTTGTGCTGTCGCAAAAACCATCAAGCACTATGATGAAACTGGATCTCATGAGGACCGCCACAGGAATGGAAGACCCAGAGTTACCTCTACTGCAGAGGATAAGTTCATTAGAGTTACCAGCCTCAGAAATTGCAGCCCAAATAAATGCTTCACAGAGTTCAAGTCACAGACACATCTCAACATCAACTGTTCAGAGGGGACTGTGTAAATCAGGCTTTCATGGTCGAATTGCTGTTCAGAAACCACTACTAAAGGACACCAATAAGAAGAGACCTGCTTGGGCCAAGAAACACGAGCAATGGACATTAGTCTGGAGTCCTTTGGTCTGGAGTCCAAATTTGAGATTTTTGGTTTAAACCGCTGTGTCTTTGTGAGACGCGGTGTGGGTGAACGGATTATCTCCGCATGTGTAGTTCCCACCGTAAAGCATGAAGGCGGAGGTGTTATGGTGTGGGGGTGCTTTGCTGGTGACACTGTCAGTGATTTATTTAGAATTCAAGGCACACTTAACCAGCATGTCTACCACAGCATTCTGCAGCAATACGCCATCCCATCTGGTTTGGGCTTAGTGAGACTATCATTTGTTTTTCAACAGGACAATGACCCAACACACCTCCAGGCTGTGTAAGGGCTATTTTACCAAGAAGGAGAGTGATGGAGTGCTGCATCAGATGAGCTGGCCTCCACAGTCCCCCGACCTCAACCAATTGAGATGGCTTGGGATGAGTCGAACAGCAGAGTGAAGGAAAAGCAGCCAACAAGTGCTCAGCATATGTGGGAACTCCTTCAAGATTGTTGGAAAAGCATTCCAGGTGAAGCTGGTTGAGAGAATGCCAAGAGTGTGCAAAGCTGTCATCAAAGCAAAGGGTGCTATTTGAAGAATCTCAAATATAAAATATATTTTGATTTGTTTAACACTTCTTTGGTTACTACATGATTCCATATGTGTTATTTCTTAGTTTTGATGTCTTCACTATTATTCTACAATGTAAAAAATAGTAAAAATAAAGAAAAACCCTTGAATGAGTAGGTGTGTCCAAACTTTTGACTGGTACTGTATATCTGTGACGTTTTAGAATAGGCTATATTTTCCCTGGTAATACGGTAGATACCCTAAAATCATATTTTTCACAAAGGCTTTATTGTTATTAATAGTCCTTACTAGTTAAGGTACTAACCGCATTGATAGACACAACTGATAGAACAGTCGGTTTACAACAGAATGTTCCTATTTCTGATAGAAAAGGATAATATTCTGTATTGCATGGACAAATGTATTTATCATTGTCCAGTATTTCTAAGCTGTATTTGAGTTGCTTGGCTATATTTTTTTTTTTTTTTTTTCATAAACATTCTTCTTTTAAAAACCTTGCTTTTAATCTAAATATAAATATAAAATTGTGTTGAAATCGTTGACTTTGCACTGAAATTTTCAGAAAATAGTTATTAGTATTAGTTTGTGGGGGAAACTAACAAGAAAATAACTTCAGTTTCTTATCATGATATGGTCAGAATGTTTTAGAGATCTATTGTTCATGGTTGAAAAAGAGAAAAGTGGTCTTGCTGGAAAAACTCTGAGATAACTTTTATCCAAAGCTCGTATAGTTTACATAAATGGATCTTGTAATTTGTATTTTTTCTTTGGGAGTGTATTTTGATTTGATTATTTATTAAAGATGGCAACCGCCTAACCTTGTTCCTGTTTTCTGTTTTAGGCCTACTTTTGTATATGCCATATAGGGCTAGATTTTCAGTTATCCACCCTTTCCTTGCCTCAGAGAAAAGTCAGGAAAGCAAATATATTTTATCTAAGCTCTTGTCTCGCAATGTAAATGTATATTGAATTGACCCAGTTGGCTAAAAAATAATTTAGAAAATGTACTTTGACACCAGAAAGGCAGGGTATACCCTAGGCCCAGGGCTGTCTCTACACGCTGCACCTTTAAATACGGAACGCTCAATAAATCCTGGTCAGATTAATCAATATAATCGTACAAATCATGTTAGGGAGCAATTTCCCAAATGGTTTTTAAGTGGTGTTGGGCAACATGTTCTCAATGACAGATGCTTAATCCAAAATGTAAGACATCCTAAATATAGAAGCTATTTAACTAGGATCAGACATAATAAGATCTAGCTACGACGTTTGGGCTTTGATTGAGATGGGATGCAGACAGCAAAGGGCTCTCTCCGTAGTTTCTTGGCCATATGGTGGAGAGCGTGCATTTTAAATTAACCACCATGGACAACACAACTGCCACCGGCACACCTTGGAGCATCGACCCGACTTTTGACTCAACTTCTCCGGGCTTAAAATCTAGTACTGTGGCGCCCACAATCTTCCCACGGTCAGGCTACAGCATCATCTCCTATCTTATGTTCATCAATGCAATTTTCTCGGTTTTTAACAATACTCTGGTAATAACCGTGTTGGTGAAGAATCGTACTCTCCTCACCCCGATGAATGTGATCATCCTCAGTCTAGCCGTGTCAGATTTGATGATAGCCTTGTGCGGTTCATCGATAGTCACCATCACCAACTATCATGGTTCATTCTTTCTCGGCGACGAGTTCTGCATCTTTCAAGGATTTGCTGTCAACTATTTCGGTAAATAACATTTTAATAGTATGTCTTTGAATCATGTGGACTGAACTCAAACTTTTCATAGACCTATTTTTGGTTGTAGCCTAAAAGTGTTGAAAAAATAGTATAATTTGATAAAGTTAACTCAATGCGTTAAATTGGGTTTGGGGGGTGGGGGGGGGGGGGGTTATTCAGATCTGTGGTTTTGTGGTTGTGAAGCCAGGGTCCATATTCAGAAAGCATCTCAGAGTAGAAGTGCTGATGATCTAAGATCAGCTTTGCCTTTTAGATCATAATGAATAAGATTACATGAACAGGACCTAGATCTGATCCTAGATCAGTACTCCTACTCTCAGACACTTTATGAACACACTGCCCCCTGGTCTCCTCTCCCTCAGGTCTGGTGTCTATGTGCACTTTGACACTGCTGGCGTACGAGCGCTACAACGTGGTGTGTAAGCCCATGGCAGGCTTCAAGATGAATGTGCGTCGGAGCTTCCAAGGGCTCCTGGGGGTCTGGCTGTTCTGTTTGTTTTGGGCCGTTCCCCCACTGCTGGGCTGGAGCTCCTACGGCCCCGAGGGCATCCAGACCTCCTGCTCTCTGGGCTGGGAGGAGAGGCCAGTATAATATGTTATATAACTTGTTATAAGCATATATGAGCCTTTTATAATGTCCTATAACACAGTTTGTAATGTGTTATGTCTCTCTAGGTCCTGGAGTAATTACAGCTACCTGATCCTCTACACGCTGTTCTGCTTCCTCCTGCCTGTCGCCATCATAATCTACTGTTACACCAAGGTCCTCACCTCTATGAGACAGGTACACATTCATCTACTGTTACACCAAGGTCCTCACCTCTATGAGACAGGTACACATTCATCTACTGTTACACCAAGGTCCTCAGCTCTATGAGACAGGTACACATTCATCTACTGTTACACCAAGGTCCTCACCTCTATGAGACAGGTACACATTCATCTACTGTTACACCAAGGTCCTCACCTCTATGAGACAGGTACACATTCATCTACTGTTACACCAAGGTTCTCACCTCTATGAGACAGGTACACATTAATCTACTGTTACACCAAGGTTCTCACCTCTATGAGACAGGTACACATTCATCTACTGTTACACCAAGGTCCTCACCTCTATGAGACAGGTACATAGTAATCTACTGTTACACCAAGGTCCTCACCTCTATGAGACAGGTACACAATCTACTGTTACACCAAGGTCCTCACCTCTATGAGACAGGTACACATTAATCTACTGTTACACCAAGGTCCTCACCTCGATGAGACAGGTACACATTCATCTACTGTTACACCAAGGTTCTCACCTCTATGAGACAGGTACACATTCATCTACTGTTACACCAAGGTCCTCACCTCTATGAGACAGGTACACATTAATCTACTGTTACACCAAGGTCCTCACCTCTATGAGACAGGTACACATTAATCTACTGTTACACCAAGGTCCTCACCTCTATGAGACAGGTACACATTAATCTACTGTTACACCAAGGTCCTCACCTCTATGAGACAGGTACACATTAATCTACTGTTACACCAAGGTCCTCACCTCTATGAGACAGGTACACATTAATCTACTGTTACACCAAGGTCCTCACCTCTATGAGACAGGTACACATTCATCTACTGTTACACCAAGGTCCTCACCTCTATGAGACAGGTACACATTAATCTACTGTTACACCAAGGTCCTCACCTCTATGAGACAGGTACATATAGAGCCTCAGCCCACCGAGGGAAATAATGACTTTTTTTCTCTGCTCACTGGTATGTTAATGATGGTGGTTAGTGAATGTTAGTGAATGTTAGTGAATGTTAGTGAATGTTTGTGAATGTTAGTTAATGTGGTAGTGTGGACACACCTTTCTAAGTCAATTTCTGTCCATATACCAACTGTACAAAAGCCTCTTCCAGTTGGGATAGAGGGACTGTAACAGGGACTGTTGCTATAACTGGAGACCGTAAGAGGGGTTTAGACGCTGAGACTGAGTACTGTCTGTCGTCGGGTATCGTCTTCCTCTTCTTCCTCTTCCTCCTCCAGCTAAACCGTAGCACGGAGCTGCAGGGCGGTCGCCCCTGTCTGCAGGACAATGAGCGGGCAGTAAGGATAGTGCTGGCCATGATCGGGGCCTTCTTCGTCTGCTGGCTGCCCTACACAGCCCTGTCCGTGGTGGTTGTGGTGGACCCAGAGCTCCACATCCCTCCACTGGTGGCTACCATGCCCATGTACTTCGCCAAGACTAGTCCAGTCTATAACCCCATCATCTACTTCCTAAGCAACAAGCAGGTATGTGTACTGGAGGAGAGGCAGAGAAAAGTTAGAGTGAGAACACACCACATCAGTTACATTTGTAGATTATCGAAGGGGACTGCTATATGTCTGCTCCCTGTGGTTTTAATTCAGTTAGAATACACATTTCCGTTTTGGTTATTTAGGCCTATATTTAATCCGTATTGCGGAAGCTCCGCGCTGTAGCTCGATTGAAATTTAAAGGTAATGTTCCCGCATTCGCAGAGACGGCATTCACGGTAAACGCTGCATGTGTCTGCTCAATGCGAAATGATCTTTACATTTCAATCACGGCTGTAACGCGGATCTTCAGGCGATACGGATTAAATCTAGCCCTTATTAGTGGACACTCATCCATAGCGACTCTAGTAATGTCTTGTGGATTGTCTCGTGTATTGAAGATTGTACGAATTGATTTATAATGCTTTACCACACATTCTGTACATGGTTTGTTAACAGTTGTGTCCGTACTCCCTGTAGTTCCGTGATGCCACTCTGGAAGTCCTCTCCTGTGGGCGCTACATCCCCCATGACTCGGCCCCCGACACCCTCCCCATGCGCTCCATGACCCTAAGGACCACGGTGGGCAGAAAAAAACAAGGGATCGGTGCACACAGCAGGGTGCTGCCTCTGTGACTCCTCTCTCCTCCATCTCCTCCATCACTCCACTGGAAACAGAAACGGGAACCTAGAAGTATCACGGTGGTCTGGGTCCATCCGAGCCCCATCACAGCTACTCACTCAGGTGAATCCTAACTTACAATTCAGTTGAATATTCACCCAGTGTCCCATTGACATTAATGTATAACTAAGTGAGAATTCGACTTAATAAAGTCCAGTCCATGTCAATCAGTCAGCAACCAAGTCCTCGTCTGCAGTACATTCAAAAACTGAAATGGCGCAAGGATTCTAAAGTATAACAATGGGAGATTTTTAAAAGAATTACAGAAAACCGGGGTGCAAATTTGTCTTTGAAAATGATTTATGGAGATCCATTTTAGAGTATTGCAAAGCTGATTTTGTTTTCGTAATGTAGAGTGTGTGTTTGTGTCTGTGTGTGTGTGATTGCGGATGTGCGCGCATGCGTGCGTGTGTGAGTATTTTCAAAGTAATTTCTGATATTTCACAGTGTATTTATTACAGTATACCAACCAAGGGACATACTACATACTACATTTCTTTGTGCACTGTTTTGTCATGTAATGTTCTAAATGCATGAATGTGTGTGTGTGTGCATTCATGCATGCATGCGTGTGTATGTGTGAGAGAGTGTGTGCGTGTGTGTGCTTGCGTGTGCATGCTTGTGTGTGCGTGTGTTTGTGTGTTTGTGTGCGTGTGTGTGTGCGTGCGTGCGTGCGTGTGTGTGTGTGAGAGAGAGAGTGTGGTAGACACACGGTTTCTTAATTTTTTATTTTATGCAAGTGATCTCAATTATTCAATAAAAACGAATCTACCAAATATCGATTGTTCTTGTATATTTCTTTGGCAAGACAGAAACTTTTCTGGAAAGTGGGTGATATGTTAAGGGTTTTTATTCACACTGATCAACTCAGTCTGAAGACACAACCCATTGGACTACAGAAACAGGATGGATAGATAAAGTAAGTCTCTAGGTCATTGAGCAGCGTTTCTCCTTCCTGGTCCTGGCGACCCAAAGGTTGCACATTGTATTTTTTACCCTAGCACTACGCAGCCGACTCAAATGATCAACTCATCGTCAAGCTTTAATCATTTAAATCAGATGTGCAGTGCTAAGGCAGAATCAAAAATGTGCACCTCTTTGGATCGCCAGGACACCAGGATTGAGAAACACTCCTGTAGGAAAAGAGTGAATGGACTGAACCATGAGAGATGTTATTCCAACGTCCTGTCCTCTCTGTGGCTGCCTCTGAAGAACATAGTGTCTTTATTAACCTGGGTGACTTCAATTTGATCAATGAACAGAGAGGATAAAAACCTGGCTTGATCTAATCCCAGATTTAGCCTGTATGAGCTGGGAAATGTTCAAGCAAAGAGTATTTCACACTTAATCCTATTTTAGAAATAGGATTATACATTGTCACATAGTAATCAGATAACATGCTCGGCTCATCTTTCAGTCATTTCTTTGGATGTTTCAAGAATACTGACCTGTCAGCCACCTGGCTGTAACAATATTCCATCATAAAACATGTAGGTAACTATATGTTCATTTTTTTTTTAGTAAAAACACGAAAATATAAAGAAAAACATCCAGATAGATGTAAAAATTACTCTATCCCCATAGAGTAAGTATAGGCCATTGATGATAGCAGGGTCAGGTTTAGACTTCAGTCTAAAAGTCCGGTGCAATAGACAGATGACACCTCTTGCTCAGCCTGCCATCTTTCTACTATGAGCAGAACACAGTAGTCAACCATGCCTGCTCCTACTTATTGTGTGTAGGTCTGCAACAGCACAATTCAAGTTCGAGAACTTCCTAACAGCCAACTGGCTTTAACAGTCTTCTATCATAAAACGTGTAGTTAACACGTCAATTCTTTAGAAAAAAAACCCACTAACATATGAATATGAGTATTTTCATGATAAAAGGGTCAGGTTTAGACTTCTATAGCTGTTTTGATTGGTCTAAAAATAGATAGATGGCACCTCTTGCTCAGCCTGCATTCTTTCTCTACTGTACACAGTAGTCAACCATGCCTATTCCTATGCTTTTGTGTATGGGTTTATAACACCTAACAGGCAGGGTTGGGTCAGTATTGCCAATTGGTCAGCAGTGCTATTGTAATAAACATGTAATAAGCATGTCTTAAATATAGCCCGTCGCTCTAAAACACTTCATAGGGACACATCCAATTAAACCCACCACCCTCACTGTAATTAAACCCACCACCCTCACTGTAATCCCCGTTGAGGATACAACACAGCCAAGTGCAAATAGATGTGACTCACAGTGAGGATTCCCTGGTGACCAGTGAGCCATGCAGGGTGTCGATGAACACAAGTGGACACAGCGGGGCGTCACCTGGGTCATATTCATTAGGCACTAAAAATAAGAAAAACAACTTAGGGCACACCAATAAGAACCCTCATTTTCGTTTTCCATTGCACAATGTTTTGCAAAATGTTGCTATGGTGTGCCCTAATGAACACAACCCTGTCATAATGACAGGGGCTAAGGACGTGCTATGAAGGATGTGCTTCATTCTGCTTTGGGCATGGAGTAGATGTTGTTGCCGATATCGGTAATAAGCTTAGGTTGCGGCTGTGGGCTCCTGATCATAAAGGATTCTGAAAAGGATGGGGAGATGGAACTGTTGTTCTGAAATGGAACTCAAACCTTTCTAAGATGGAACTATATCCAATAACTATTTGATTTGTGAGATGAGAGGCACTCTACCTATTTCATGGGTATATGGGAACAACACAGTTTGGGAGGAGTACATTGACATCTCATTTACCGTTGCAAACTGTGCAGTGTTATTCTTCACTTCCATTGTCGGCATCGCAGCGAATGTGTTCGTCACATGGGCAGTGTACCGTCAAAAGTCTCTTCGAACGTGGAATAATGCGCTCCTGGTCAACCTCGCCGTTATCGACATCCTTCGTTGTTGTATTGACTGTCCTATTCTCCTCACCATCGTTCTGAAGGGACCCGTAGGAGGAGGTCTGGAGAAACTGCTCTGTGACGCCCAGGTCGCCTCCTTCTCGTTCAGCTGCTGTATTCAGTTGCTCACCTTGGCCTGCATCAGCATGGAAAGACATCAAGCAATCGCCCACCCTTTCAAAATCACCCAGCGCCGAAGACGGATTCTGGTGTGGATCCCCTTGACCTGGATGGTGGGTGTTCTCGTTGCGGCCTTTTGTTTGACGTTTGTCAAGGACTCACCTGTGTATGTTAGGTGCAGGGGATGGCAGGTAAATGTGCAACTATCCTATGACACCTTTGGACTCTATATATTAGTTCCGCTATGGTCAACCTGCTTCGCTGTCATTACTGGATTCTATGCTCGTATATTTATCATAGTGAGAGCACACGGTCAAAAAATGTTGGACAAAGGATCTTTTCCAGCAACTAAACAGGACACCGTGAAAGAAGCAACAAGTAAAGTTCAGGAAGTGGATGAAAAAGACGGGAAAACAAAACATGACGATTCTGAGAAAAATGAAATAGAGGTGGAAAGGGAAACAGACCAAAGAGAAGAGAACAGGCAAAGGGAAACTGTTCAGCAAGAACCTGTTGAAAGAAAGTTACCCAGAAAAGACCCTGAAATTGGATTTACGAACACAACAACGAAGAACGCTCAAGGAGCCATGAAAGACTCTTCGGACAACATTTCAGAAACCAAGACTCTGGGTAGCAATTCTGAGCTACTCCCCAGTAAGGTGAAACTACCACGTGTTTCATTCGCGCCACAGGTGGACAACCCCAGTGCCAAGGTGCTCAAGTTGGTAGACTTGGAACAAGACAAGGATGTCCATTCACTCCATCCCAATTCTATTGGTGATCATGATGTCAAAGCAGATGATATTTCTCCATTACCTACCAAGGTTGAGGAGACTGTAGCAGCAATCCCCGTTCCAGAAACAGAAACTCCAGCTGCAGATCAAAGCTTGGAGGTTAAAGGTGCCGTCTGTATGATGCCGTCGTTCGTCAACAAAGAGCATGCCAACAAAAAGAAGGAGAGTAAACTGGCAAAGCGTTCTGGTTACATCATTCTCACCTTTCTGATATTCTGGATGCCGTTGATCGTGATGGTGATGGCCAACTTCTGCAACAGAAACAGGAATTCCGGGGTAAGTCGTTTTTTTTTGTTTCTGATGGTCAGTGTCAGTGAACAGTTCATCAAATGCCTTTTTTTAAATATATGTTTTATATCAAATATACAACCCATAGCTTCTATCAATTTCATAATGCAAATTGCATAATATCAAATGGGGTCTCTAAATAGTGCTAATTTAACCATTCTCCTATGTCTTTAAAAAAGACAGTGGTAAATATGAAAATAAAAGCCTTCAAATGAAACGAACACCACCACCTCTCTATCATGGCTGCACTAACCGTCTCCCTGTCCATGAATGGTGTAAATTCTATAGAGAGGCCCTGTCCACTGAGCTCCCTAAAACGCATAGATTTTCCTTTGTACTTTCACAATTTGTTTGTTATGCATCCTTGATAAAAAAATACAATTTTTTTCCAATGCATTTGATTTATCTGTTGATTTATCATTGTTGCTTTTGTCAGTCAGCTGTTTAGAGCGCTCATTGCTTTATTTGTCAGGTGCGTGTGGGTATTTGTTCTCCATGCAGTCCGTAGCCCATTTATTTAGCTTTATTGTTTTCTATCAATGTTTGTTTTCTTTCTTGGATCAGCTGATGATGGTCGAAAATATCACTAGACAACTAGCTTACAGCTAGACACAAATGCACATCCAATCCATCCAACAAGTAGGCTACAAGTTAATGTTAGTATCCCTATATAATAATAAATAATAATATGCCATTTAGCAGACGCTTTTATCCAAAGCGACTTACAGTCATGCGTGCATACATTTTTGTGTATGGGTGGTCCCGGGGATCGAACCCACTACCTTGGCGTTACAAGCGCCGTGCTCTACCAGTTGAACTATATATAGTTGACTCCTTCAGTTAGAAGTATTCGATTTTGCAATGGCATAGGCCTATATTATTTTTGGATTTGTGTGCCCATGAGAACTGTTTTCACGGCGAAACATAATGAAATGTTACATAGGCATAGTTACATAGTTACTTACAGTGCACTTTTCCCGAGATCTCCAAGATCCAGGATCCGTACAGGGTTTAAGTTCAATGTTCTAATTCTATTGGTAAATGGTTAATAATGACAAATAACACAGCCATAACTGTAATTAATGTAAGGAAATAAAGGTAGTGCCGGGTAAATGCAAGTAAAGGCAGTTTACTCACCTTTTTTAGAAAAATGCATTGAAAGTCTAGGGAGCGTTACTTTTTTCACCGCGACCAGCAATCGGAGTTTACCCACCATTTTATTTATTTTTACCACACTAGGCTACATCACTGGCTACCGGTAGGCCTATTTGAAGTTCATGGTGATACACATTGTAGCCTAGTCTAGTAAAATTGACCGTGTGTGTTAGGGTAACCATGGCGTTTTTCCTGGGACAGTTTCAGACCCATTTCATGTGTCCCGACTTTTCAGGCTACAAAAAAAGGTGAATTTGTCAGCAAGACGCAATCAATTAATGTAGACCTAATCAATGGCAGTCGCCGAATGTCATGACGCAAACTTTTTGGTGTTTTGTAACAGTTGTCTATTTCCATTCATCAAATGGATGCTGGCATTATTTCGGAGGGGACGAAAGCACAGGTAGCATACTTTTTTAAGTGATATGTTTGACAATCAGATAATAAAAGGTCATTCATTTTTACAGTTTTTACCGTTAAATTACATCTTTACTATTAGGCCCATAAAGAAATACGTGCACCCATAAAGAAATACGTGCACCCAATAGAGACAGTCTCAGATAATAAAAGGTCATTCATTTTTACAGTTTTTACCGTTAAATTACATCTTTACTATTAGGCCCATAAAGAAATACGTGCACCCAATAGAGACAGTCGCAGATAATAAAAGGTCACTCATTTTTACAGTTTTTACCGTTAAATTACATCTTTACTATTAGGCCCATAAAGAAATACGTGCACCCAATATAGACAGTCGCCCCCCCCCCCCAATTGTCACGGTGTAATTCAAACTCTGCTTATTACGCAATACATTTGGAAGCTCTTGTGAATGGAAATCATTTTGATCTATTGACATATTGAAAAACAAAAATTCAAGAATTTATGAGTGTTTAATTATTCAATACATCATTCTACTATTCTGAATGGAGATTACTATAGGAGGTTATACAATTCTGATACAGCATAAACATTGTTTTACATGTTTCTGCCTTTCAGATGGGGACAGCTCAGGATCTGGAGTTCCTGTCTGTATCAGTGGCCTGCATGACCTCTGCCAGTAACCCCATAACCTACGCCGTGGTCAACCCTCAGTTCAGAACAGAGTTCCACTATCTTAGGAGGAAATGTCAATCGTTATGGACAAGAGCTTAGACATACTACAGATAACTGTCTGATCTTTTATGGCATTTGCTTGGGATATGATGGTCACTTTTTTTAAATGGTAGTAAACATTGTCATTTAAAATGATCCTAACACATCAAAAAGTCTTCACCCCTTGCCAGAACTAGGGGGCTCAGTCTCAGCTGGGGTGTCTAATGTGTGGTGTAATGCATCTCCTTGTTTGGTACCAGGCTGGCTCTCAGGTAGGTCAAGGGCATCATTCATCCTCAGCAGTTAGGGCCCGATTTAGACTTAGGAAATTACGCCTTTCTTATACATGCCTTTCCTATGGACTTCTCAGTAGTTGGTATTCAGACTTACCTTATGAAGGTGTGTAAAGGGCTTTGCAGGCACGGTTCCCAATGAATGAATGAAATTCAACCGCTTATAACCCTCCCACTTGCTGGCCAACAGATTTTATCTTGGAGTTTTCGTTCAGTAGGGTTTTCAGTCCATTTTTCTGAAGCCACCTCTTTAAATACGGTGTACCTTTTAGTTAGAATTTTGTCGACAGACTCAATAGAATATATAGAGAGAACGGGTTCAGAAAGAAAGTGATCTAAATATATGCATATTCGTCTCCGTTTCAGCACCAATTGGTAGATTTAAAAATACAGTGATTTTGTAGATTATTCAGGGTTAGGATAGTATTTATGAATGATCAAAAAACAGGTTTAGAGAGCCTTTATGCACGAAAGAAAGAAAATGGTGGTTTGAACCTTCCTGAAAATTGCCACCATCCGTTATTTAACCAATGGTAATGTTAGAAGATTAGTGTACATAGAATTATAATAGGGTGAATAGTGTACAATAGTAGGCTATACCCTCTTCTATTGTCTGCACTAACCACGGCCAAGTATTGTGCCATGCGTCGGTTCAAACCGTTACGGCTTGGTCTGCGCGCCATAACCATTTAATTAGCCTCGGGTCAGAATCGTGTCCTTAATGAACACTGAGGTGTTGCCTGCTGTGCTGTGAGAGCCAGACCAAGTGTGGACCAAAATAAACAGGCTCTGTTGTCTAGGACTGTATATCACCATGGTTCCCTGGCGCTACAGGCAGGACAGAGCCTTCCTTCACCCCATGTGTGTGTATGTGTGTGTGTGTGTGTGTGTGTATGTGTGTGTGCGTGTGTGCGAGCATGCGTATGTGCATACAAGTGTGTCTGTGTGTGTGTAATCAGAGTTAGGCCTGTCTCTGTAGGTCCTCCACCCTGGACCAACCACTGAGTCTGTCAGGCCCTCACACGCTCTCTAGCCCCCCTGGTGACACAGCCTCAGGCCCTCACACGCTCTCTAGACCCCCTGGTGACACAGCCTCAGGCCCTCACACGCTCTCTATCCCCCCCTGGTGACACAGCCTCAGGCCCTCACACGCTCTCTATCCCCCCCTGGTGACACAGCCTCAGGCCCTCACATGCTCTCTAGCCCCCCCTGGTGACACAGCCTCAGGCCCTCACACGCTCTCTAGCCCCCCTGGAGAGACAGGCTCAGGCCCTCACACGCTCTCTAGCCCCCCCTGGAGACACAGCCTCAGAGACACACACACAATCCAGCCCCCCTGGAGAGACAGGCTAGGAGACCTCATTATTACCCTGTAGAGAGTGGGCGTCACTGGACCAAGTCTCACAGCCTGGTGTCTAACTATGACCCCATTCCCTACTTAGTGCACTATATAGGGAAGAAGGTGCCATTTGGCACACAGCCAACATCAGCAAATTCACAGCAGGGTGTCAGCAGCTTAAGTAAAAAAATTAAATAATAAAACTAAGGGTATTGACAGACTGACGGTGGCTTCACAGCCGGAATGTTTGGCTTTGCACTTGTTCTATATTCTAGAATGAATACATCAAATAACTTGTGAACTCTCTTTTTTTTTCTCAATGTGGTCCCTCTACACTGCTACCAATGGAACCACCACCATCAGCACCATAATAACATCAGTTGTAGGAAAGAAAAAAAGGTTAAAATACTCGGTTTGGTCTTATCAAGTGTTTTAATAGAACAACTATTTATTTACAGTATTGTGTATTCTATCCACTGCACCAAAATGCATGATTTTGGATTTTCTTTGTAGCTTCTTCTTCTTATAATCTATATATTTTGTCCATAACAGGATCTATCTGTAATTCATTAAAATCATCATTCTTATCATGTACCATTTTTCGATATCTTCCCCATCACTCTCTCATGTTGTCATTCACAAACCTTGGACACATCCTAATTGAATACCACTGAATTCTGCAATGACCGCATGCAAATTCCTTAACGCCACCATTTATCAACAGATAGAAATATTATGAGTTGTTAACACTTAACTTTAAGTTGGCCTTATACACTGAATGTACAAAACATTAGGAACACCTGCTCTTTCCATGACATCGACTGACCAGGTGAATCCAGGTGAAAGCTATGATCCCTTTTTGATGTCACCTGTTAAATCCACTTCAATCAGTGTAGATGAAGGGGAGGAGACAGGTTAAAAAAATATTTTTAAGCCTTGAGACAATTGAGACATGGATTGTGTATGTGTGCCATTCATAGGGTGAATGGGCAAGACAAAAGATTAAAGTGCCTTTGAACGGGGTATGGTAGTAGGTGCCAGGTGCACCGGTTTGAGTGTGTCAAGAACTGCAACGCTGCTGGATCAAGAATGGTCCACCTCCCAAAAAGGACATCCAGCCAACTTGACACAACAGTGGGGAAGCATTGGAGTCAACATGGGCCAGCATCCCTGTGGAACGCTTTCAACACCTTGTAGAGTCCATGCCCCGACGAATTGAGGCTGTTCTGAGGGCAAAAGGCAGTTCATGTTTTGTACACTCAGCGGACATATGTAACTGCAGTAACAACATTGTAGATGCATATATGAAGATCACTTAAGGTAAAAGTGTTACCTATGTGTCACAACTGCTATCTAAACCTAGAAATCAGAGGAATTATGGTATAACAGTGGTTTCTGAAGATAAAACAGAGAAATATTTACAACATTTACTAACAATGTACAGAATGGATTTTTTTATTTTAACACAGTGACTTTAGTACCAAGGTCTTGCTTTTGTTTTAATAAATTGGAACAAAAGAGGGATATGGCTTTCTGTTTACCCGTATACCTCATTTCAAAGGTATTGATACAACCGACCTTAATGCGTATGTCTAGAGCTGTTACGGAGACAGTAGTGTTAGATTGACAGATCTACATGGCTTCTAGAAGTGGCAGTGTTTTACTAGTTGTGATAACTTCTTTATATTATACAACTTTATTTCTACCTGGTATTAGCTAACATCTACTTTTCTAACTTCAATTAACTTCGATTTCAGTTGAGGTCAAATGTAATTCGTAGAAATGTATGTTACATTATGTTCCTGTCAGTAATAAGCACTAAGATAAAACAGATTGCGAACATCAGGGCCCGTGTTCACAACGCGTCTCTGAGTAGGAGGTCTGATCTAGGATCAGGTCCCGTCTGTCGATGTAATATGATATTCATTATGATCTAAAAGGCCAAACTGATCCTAGCTAGCTTAGCACTCCTGCTCTGAGATGCTTTATGAAGACGGACCCTGAATTGGGACTCTTCACTTTGAACATTTCACCGTTTCAGGATAGGCAAAAGTCTATACTCATAGAGTAAAGACATTAACCAATAGGCAATGAATATTCACAGTGACTAAGTGGCACTTCATTCCAAATAACAGATGCGTAAGTTACAGATCGGCTGAATTAATTTACAGGAGTAAAGGGGAAGATCAGTTCAATCAAGGAGGAAAATCTCCTTGGTTCAATAAAGGTCTTCCAGGTCCGGCTGTGTATGTTTGATATGAGCGGAGAGAAAAAGGTGGATGTCCCATAAATAATAATAATAATAATAATAATAGATCTGAGGATTGACCTTCATATGAGTACTTGAATGCATGTGTGCTTTGTCTTGAGTCTCTCCACTCCACAGGAAATTGACTTTCAACTGCAAATAACACAGTTCTCCCCTCTCTTTCCCCCTTGAGTCACATAAGACGACATATTGACCTTTCCTGCAGTCAAATGACCAAATCGCCCTCTAGTGGCCTCATGGGTGGAATATTATTAATATCGTTCATAATTTCATAATTTAAAAAACCTTATTTTAAAAAGCCAGCAGAAAATCCGGTGTTTGTATGTTAAACGGTTTTGTTATATTTCAGTCTTCTGTGATGTATATAAAGTGTAATATTGTGATGCAAACTCAAAATCTATACCTGACATGGTGTCTTCTTTCTTTAAGCCCATAACCATGTGTGTGAGGTGTATACATTTACATTTTAGTCATTTAGCAGACGCTCTTATCCAGAGCAACTTACAGTTAGTGAGTGCATACATTTTTTTTTTTTCATACTGGCCCCCCGTGGGAATCGAACCCACAACCCTGGCGTTGCAAGTGCCATGCTCTACCAACTGAGCTACACGGGACTATACTGTTGTTTCAAAGTAGATTTGTTTAAGACTACCAAGAAACACTGTGTGACCCTGATTTAGTCCACTCCAGTAAAATGATTTATTAATAGTCCCCCCAAAATGTATCTTAGTGTTTTTTCAGGCATCAACGATCCAGCGATCCAATAGTTCATTGCTTGAGCCTCCTGTGCTTAAAGGAAGGATATGTATTTCAGGGCACCCTCTTTGCTCCATAGGTGGATGATCTTTCATTGGTCCCCAAAGAGCAAAAGGGTTTTAGGTAGATCAAGTCTCTTTTCTCCAAGGCAGCCAGCCAATCACTGCAGTTTAATCCCGTGCAGAGTCCAGTGGTAGTCCATCCCGGGACAGAGAGTTAGTCAAACCATGACCTCTGACCAGGGCCGGCTCTGGATATGCGGTCGCTTAGGGCCCCTGGCAGCTAGGAACTCCGTCGGGGTCTCAACTTACTGTTGAGTTAGAATAACAGAATACACAAGTTCTAAATGTGTTTGTGCATCAGCCATTTTTCTCTTGTTATGCCAGTCACTGACAGTCATGTCAGCTAACAATGTTTAGATTAGTAAATTAGTCTAGCAACCTACCGTAAAACAATAAATACAGAGTCTCAAATTACCGCCTGTCCTTTTAATAGCTGGGCAACTGCACACATTGCAGCAAATAAACGGCTGTTTCAAATAAACGGCTGTTTCAAATAAACGCTGGTTCTAAATGAATTGTTTAATGTTTGATTTGTTAAATTATATAATTCAGTAATGACTCGAAAAAAATCTGTTTTTATCACCAGTAAGTAACTACTAGCTATTGGCTGCTAACACCTGAGGACTGCTAGCTAACTGGCAAGCACAAAAACAGTCAACAACTTTGGGAGTACAGACCCCTAGAAATCGGCTGATCTAGTGGCGAAAGTAAGAACTGCTGAAAATGCACAGTCAAAGAGGAGAATAATTATTCTGTCTAGGAAAAGTAATTTAAAAAGATCTCGAAATAGAGGCATAATGAGAAAAAGGAAACGTGACAAAGTTTGTAAATGATAACACATTCATGCAGGAAATGAAGAAGTTGATTAAAATGCTGGTAGTGAATGCTGGAATTAAACAATTAACTATGCAAATGAGCAAAAGCTGTGTGCATTAAGGAAATAGACGCCTTGCTCAAATAGAAGCCTGTCTCTAATAGAAGCCTTGCTCAAAAATAAGCCTGTCTCTAATAGAAGCCTTGCTCAAATAGAAGCCTGTCTCTAATAGAAGCCTGTCTCTAATAAGCGCCTGTTGTGTTTAGTGATTTACGCAAGTAAACGCCCGGGCTATTAACTGAAGTTTTATGGTATCTAAACTTGTAGTAATCATGGCCGAATACCGACCCGGTACGCAGGGCACGTGTCCAGGGGCCCTGACCTCCAGGGGGCCCCCATTGATTTTGTTAGTCACTCTCACTCAGATATTATTGACATGGCAAAATGTGTAGAATTGCAGGAAATTAGCTTTAAAACTGAAATAATGTCTCTCCACCCCATGGCAAAATGGGTAGAATTACAGGAAATTAGCAGGATACTTGCAGGATGACCGTCGGCCAATCAGTCAATCAGTCTAATCAATCAGTGGTCTCTCTCTCTCTCCTGCTGCTGTTTCTGCTTGAGCCCAATTAGCCAAACAGTGTGCCAAACAGACCTTGACGATGTCTTGACTGACAGCTGAAATCTACAAGGCCGACACTCTGACAATGTTGCTCTGAGAATAGTTGACGGGGGAGCTGGTGGATCCGTCGCCGTCTGATGATGTCACCAGTGGGGACGGGGCGGGACGCAGGTTGACCACGGAGGTGGTGATGTAGGGCTCACCCTTCAACGGCACCATCTCAGAGTCTAGTTTAGCGTTCAGGCTGGAGCGACTGTAGGGGAGAGGACAGAGAGAGACAGAGGGCAGAGTCTAGTTTAGCGTTCAGGCTGGAGCGACTGTAGGGGAGAGGACAGAGAGAGACAGAGGGCAGAGTCTAGTTTAGCGTTCAGGCTGAAGCGACTGTAGGGGAGAGGACAGAGAGAGACAGAGGGCAGAGTCTAGTTTAGCGTTCAGGCTGGAGCGACTGTAGGGGAGAGGACAGAGAGAGACAGAGGGCAGAGTCTAGTTTAGCGTTCAGGCTGGAGCGACTGTAGGGGAGAGGACAGAGAGAGACAGAGGGCAGAGTCTAGTTTAGCGTTCAGGCTGGAGCGACTGTAGGGGAGAGGACAGAGAGAGACAGAGGGCAGAGTCTAGTTTAGCGTTCAGGCTGGAGCGACTGTAGGGGAGAGGACAGAGAGAGACAGAGGGCAGAGTCTAGTTTAGCGTTCAGGCTGGAGCGACTGTAGGGGAGAGGACAGAGAGAGACAGAGGGCAGAGTCTAGTTTAGCGTTCAGGCTGGAGCGACTGTAGGGGAGAGGACAGAGAGAGACAGAGGGGTGAGGTGTGTCTGTGTGTGTGTGTGTGTGCGTGTGTGTGTGTGTGTGCGTTCATGCATTTTACTGTTTATGCTTGTGTGTTTGTGTGTCCATTTGCTGTGTGTGTGTGTGTGTGTGTGTTTGATCGTTAATACATGTGCGCCCATGCAAGCGTGCTTATGACACTCCCATGTGTGTGTGTATCTGTCTGTGAGACTACCTGTTGGTCACAGGCCTCTCTCTGATCTGGATGGTGGATAGCTCCTGGTTGTTAGAGTTGGGCAGACTGAAGCTCTTCTTCCTGTGACGTCTCAAACAGCAGGAGGACAGGCCGTAGGGAGACGACGACAGGGACGAGGTTCCAGAGCCAGACTTGTTCACCATGGTTACCTCCATACAGTTGGTCTCGAAAGTCTGCTCGTCAATAAACTCATGATTCTGGAGAGAGAGAGAAAGAGACAGAAATCAATGGGCCACAGTGGAGGCTGGTGGATGGCGAAATTGGAGGATGAGCTCATTGTAATGGCTGGATTGGAATGAATGGAACCGTATCGAAACACATCTAATGTTTTCTATGTGAATGATACCATTCCATTCATTCAATTCCAGACATCAGTCTCCTATTCCCTGTGAAATGTCTGTTGTTTTTATAGACATGATTTTTCATAAAAAACCAATTTTCCCAGAGGGATAATAATACAGGTGTTTACCTCTTTCCTTTAATCATGCGAATAGCTTTAATCACCTGCTGTGCTTTAACGACCCGCAATTGGCCAGTTGGTGGTAAAGAGACAAATGCCTATATCAAAACCATAGCAACAGTGTTGTGATGATGCATTTAAATAATAAAGTAGTACCAGGGGAACGGAAGCATACTAGCACCGGCCCAGACGTCCACATCAAGTACAATCTGTGAAGCTGTTCCTCTTTCCCTGTGTGTTGAATGGGTAATAAGACTTGAAGGTCAGCTGAGTGTATGACCCAGACTGCACCACCAGATGGCATTATGAAGAAACCATCATTTTCTTTATTCTCTCTCCTCGTCTCCTTTCTGAAAATGCATTGGAGGAGAAGATCCTTTTGAGAAGGAGACGAGGAAACAGGAATTGAGTAATCGAGGAAATGCAATTTTAGATTCCCCCTCTATAGCCTGGGAAGACAACTCATCTCTGTAAGAGTGGCAAGTATATTTTTGGTCAATCCCAATGCAATAGCTCAAATCACTATGCCTACAGTTTTCACGACCCTGGCCACAGCAAAGTTTGATGCTACCCTTTAGTGAGATTTCATAACTTTTAAAACCTTGAAAGAGACTGTCAAAGAATTTGGCAAAGCGCTGCTGTTTTTACGTCTAACTTTTTATTCAGCACTGTCAACACCGTTTTTATTCAACACTATTACAAAACATAAAACACGCTTCTCCCTACTTCCACTCATACTGCAGCTGCAATGAATGAGTAGCCCTGTGTTTTTAATGAGTTTCACCATCATGTGGAAGACTGTGTCCCCTCTCTCCAGAACTGCCAATCTGTGGTCAAAAAGACTAGTTCATCTCAGCCTTTGTCGCCCTAAAGTCCCTCGACTTTTAGGCCCAGACAGAGAAATACACTACATGACCAAAAGTAGAAAACCACACGCAGGGCTGAAATAAAGAAGCCTAGCCTGCAATGGTTCTTAGATGACATCATGGAAGATACACTACATGACCAAAAGTATGTGCACACCTGCTCGTCCAACATCTCATTCCAAAATCATGGGCATTAATATGGAGCTGGTCCCCCCTTTGCTGCTATAACAGCCTCCACTCTTCTGGGAAGGCTTTCCACTAGATGTTGAAAATTGCTGCTGGGACTTGCTTCCATTCAGCCACAAGAGCATTAGTGAGGTCGGGCACTGATGTTGGGTAACTAGGCCTGGCTCACAGTCGGCGTTCCAATTCATCCCAAAGGTGTTCGATGGGGTTGAGGTCAGGGCTCAGTGCAGGCCAGTCAAGTTCTTCCACACCGATCTCGACAAACCATTTCTGTATGGACCTGGCTTTGTCCATTGGGGCATTGTCATGCTGAAAAGGAAAGGGCCTTCCCCAAGCTGTTGCCACAAAGTTGGAAGCACAGAATCGTCTAGAATGTCATTGTATGCTGTAGCGTTAAGACTTCCCTTCACTGGAACTAAGGGACCGAGCCCGAACCATGAAAAACAGCCCCAGACCATTATTCCTCCTCCACCAAACTTTACAGTTGGCACTATACATTCGGGCAGGTAGCGTTCTCCTGGCATCCGCCAAACCCAGATTAGTCCGTCGGACTGCCAGATGGCGAAGTGTGATTCATCACTTCAGAGAATGCGTTTCCACTGCTACAGAGTCCAATGGTGGCGAGCTTTACACCACTCCAGCCGACGCTTGGCATTGCGCATGGAGATCTTAGGCTTGTGTGCGGCTGCTGGGCCATGGAAACACATTTCATGAAGCTCCCGACGAACAGTTCTTGTGCTGAAGTTGATTCCAGAGGCAGTTTGGAACTCGGAAGTGAGTGTTGAGGACAGACACTTTTTACGCTTACACGCTTCAGCACTCGGCAGTCCCGTTCCGTGAACTTGTGTGGCCTACCACTTCACAGCTGAGCCGTTGTTGCTCCTAGACGTTTCCACTTCACAACAACTGCACTTGCAGTTAACCGGGGCAGCTCTAGCAGGGCAGAAATTTGACGAACTGACTTGTTGGAAAGGTGGCATCCTATGACGGTACCACGTTGAAAGTCACTTAGCTCTTCAGTAAGGCCATTCTACTGCCAGTGTTTGTCTATGGAGATTGCATGGTTGGGTGCTTGATTTTATACACCTGTCAGCAACAGGTGTGGCTGAAATAGCAGTTTCCACTAATTTGAAGTGGTGTCCACATACTTTTGTGTATATAGTGTAGATTCCCCAGAGAACACCGCTACAACCCAGCTGCTCTCTCGTCATCTGACTATGTGTACTCTCATAGTCCGAAAGTATCTGGTCATCGCGGTGGTGGGCTACTTATTTCTCCTAAATTTATATTTTCTCTTTTTCCCCTCTCTCACCTTTCCATCTCCTCATTTGAATGTCACTTGTCCACTTGTTCACTCAAGCTTAACATTGTTGTCATCTATCGGCCACCAGGTGACCTTAGAGAGTTCCTCAATGAGTTTGACACCTTGATAAGCTCATTTCCCAATGATGGCTCACCACTTATCGTACTGGGTGGCTTCAATCTCATTTTTTTTCTCCCTCTCTCCTCCAACCCACTCAGCCCCTACCCAGATGGTCTTGCAATCGTCGCTATCTCTCTCTCTCTCTCCCACTAAGCTCTCCTGTTCTATACCAACATCTCTCCCTTCTACTAAATCCTTCTCCCTCCTGACTCTGCCTCGTCGACCCTACTCTCCTCCCTTCCCGTCTCCTTTGACTCTCACTGTCCCCTTTCCTCCCTGCCGGCTCGACCCTCCCCTCTTGCTCTGTGGCTGAGTGACTCACTGCGTGCTCACAGAATAGAGCTGCGGGCAGCTGAGCAAAAATGGAAGAAATCTAAACTTCCGGAGGACCTATCATCCTTCCACTACCTCCTCTCTACCTTTTCTTTTGTATCCGCTGCTAAAGCCGCTTTCTATCACTCTAAATTCCAAGCCTCTGCCTCCGAACCTGGGAAACTCTTTTCCACCTTCTCCTCCCTCCTTAATCCTCCGCCTCCTCCCTCCTCTCTCTCTGCAGACAACTTTGTTAACCACTTTGTTTGACGACATCCACTCCTCATTCACTCAGCCTACCGAGTCCACTGGTTCCAACTCACACAGAACTACCCTACGCCTTGACCTCTTTCTCCCTTCTCTCTCCAGATGAAATCCTGCGACTAGTGATGTCCAGCCGACGGACAACCTGCCCACTCGACCCCATCCCCTCTTCTCTGGAGACCTTCTCCCATTTCTCACTTCCCTCATTAACTCATCCCTGACCACTGGCTGCGTCCCTTCTGACTTAAAGATGTCCAGAGTCACTCCCCTCCTCAAGAAACCAACCCTCGATCCCTATGTCAAAAACTACAGACTGTTATCCCTTCTTTCTTTTCTTTCCAAAATACTTGAGCTTGTTGTCTCTGACCAACTATCTTGTTATCGCTCTCAGAATGATCTTCTTGACCCTAACCAGTCAGGCTTCAAGACGGGTCAGTCAACGGATACTGCTCTTCTCTGTGTCACGGAGGCTCAAAGCTCTGCCAATGCTGACTCTCTCTCCTCTGTTCTCATCCTCCTAGATCTATCTGCTGCCTTCAACACCATGAACCATTAGTACCTCCTGTCCACCTATCTCAGGGCTGGGCGTCTCAGACTCTGCACACTCCTGGATTGCATCCTACCTGGCAGGTCGCTCCTACCAGGTGGCGTGGAGAGGATCTGTGTCTGCACCACATGTTTTCACTACTGGTGTCCCACCACCTCAAGCTCAACCTCAACAAGACAGAGCTGCTCTTCCTCTCGGGGAAGGCCTGCCCGTTCCAAGACCTCTCTATCACGGTCGACAACTACACCGTGTCCCACTCCTAGAGTGCAAAGAACATTGGCGTGACCCTGGACAACGCCCTGTAATTCTCTACAAACATATAAACAGTTACTTGCTCCTGCAGGTTCATGTTCTACAACAGGGTTATTCAATTCTGGTCCTGGAGGGCCGAAACACCTCTGTTTTTCATCCTCTCCTTCTAATCAGGGGCTAATTCAGACCTGGGACACCAGGTGAGTGCAATTAACTACCAGGTAGAAATAAAAAACAGAAGTGTTTCAGCCCTCCAGGACCGGAATTGAAGAACCCTGTTCTACAACATCTGTAGAGTACAACCTTTCCTCACACAGGAAGCAGCGCGGGTCCTAATCCAGGCACTCGTCATATCCCATCTGGACTACTGCAACTCTCTGTTGGCTGGGCTCCCCACTTGTGCCATTAAACCCCTGCAATTTATCCAGAACGCCGCAGCCCATCTGGTGTTCAACTTTCCCAAGTTATCCCATGTCACCCTGCTCCTCCGTACACTCCATTGGCTTCCAGTTGAAGCCTGCATCCACTACAAGACTCTGGTGCTTGCCTATGGAGCAGCAAGGGGAACTGCCCCTCCCTACCTTCAGGCTCTGCTCAAAGTCTACATCCCAACCTCACTCCTTTCTGCCACCTCTGGTCTCTTGGCCGTCCCACCCCTATGGGATGTGGGCTTCTGCTCAGCCCAGTCAAAGCTCTTTTCTGTCCTGGCACCCCAATGGTGGAACCAGCTTCTCCCTGATGCTAGGACACAGAGGAGGCTGGTGGGAGGAGCTATAGGAGGACAGGCTCATTGTAGTGGCTGGAATGGAATAAATGGAAAGGACTCAAACATGTGGTTTCCATGTATGATGTGTTTGATACCCTTCCATGTATTCCATACCAGCCATTACAATGAGCCTGTCCTCCTATAGCTCCTCCCACCAGCCTCCACTGCTAGGACAGCAGAGTCCCTGCCCATCTTCCAAAAACGTCTGAAACTCTACCTCTTCAAAGTTTTTCACCCAGTAGATAAGGGAGTTTATCTAAAGTAATCTGAGGGAAATATGTGTCTCTAATATGGTCATACATTTGGCAGGAGGTTAGGAAGTGCAGCTCACTTTCCACCTCATTTTGTGGGCAGTGTGCACATAGCCTGTCTTCTCTAGAGAGCCAGGTCTGCCTATGGCGGCCTTTCTCAATAGCAAGGTTATGCTCACTGAGTCTGTACATAGTAAAAGCTTTCCTTAAGTTTGGGTCAGTCACAGTGGTCAGGTATTCTGCCACTGTGTACTCTCTGTTTAGAGCCAAATAGCATTCTAGTTTGCTCTGTTTTTTTGTTAATTCTTTCCAATGTGTCAAGTAATTCTCTTTTTGTTTTCTCATGATTTGGTTGGGTCTAATTGTGTTGTTGTTGTTGTTGTTGTTGTTGTCCTGGGGCTCTGTGGGATCTGTTTGTGTTTGTGAACAGAGCCCCAGGACCAGCTTACTTAGGGGACTCTTCTCCAAGTTCATCTCTCTGTAGGTGATGGCTTTGTTATGGAAGGTTTGGGAATCGCTTCTTTTAAGTGGTTATAGAATTTAACGGCTCTTTTCTGGATTTTGGTAATTAGCGGGTAACAGCCTAATTCTGCTATGCATGCATTATTTGGTGTTTTTCGTTGTACACAGAGGATTGTTTTTGCAGAATTCTGCATTCAATTTGGTGTTTGTCACCCCATTTAGGACCCCTGGTCCTCTATCCTCTATGTGTAGGTCCAGTCTCGCTGGTCTGGGCGGGGCGTCTGTTGATCTGTTGCTCCTGTGTGACGTGTTGGGTCTGCGGTTGAGGGCGATATCCTTTAGGGTCCGGGCGAAGGTGGGCACTGCTGCCTTGTATAGGTGGACCTGGTCGTAAAGGCTGTTTACGTCCAGGGTGGAGTGGTGGGCCAGGTAGACATTAGGTTTTGATGCACAGTCACGGGAAATACTTGTGTTTACCTGCTGTATGGTAGCAGGGTGGAAGTATTTTCATGGTAGCAGGGTTGAGATAATCACTTGTGCATTGGGGAAAGTAAAATAAGCTTTTTCTATCACTCCCTTGAGTGCTGTGGCCACCCTTTCCTGCTGTGTTCTCAGGTCGTTTGTGCCTGTGTGTATTATTATGTGGCTGGGTGATCCTAGTTGGTCCTCAGACAGAAGGTCTAGGGCGCGCTGGGTGTTTGGACACCAGAGTTTAGACACTGTGTGTTTGGGGAAAAGTTTATTTTCTTGTATTTATTTCCTGTTTGAGTCCATAAGGAGTACAATCTGTGGCTTGTGTATGTCCTCAGTGGGTGTGGGGGGGTCGTCATGAGGGCTATCAGGGTGGCTGACAGGGGGGTGCTCAGAGGGGTTGGGGTCCTCAGGGCTTGGGGTTCTTCATTTGTTTGTCTGGCTGTGATGTCGAGGCTATGGTCAGGGTCTGAGGTGGGCTGTTCTGCTGGCTTCTCTGCGGGGGTGGCCAGCTCTCTAATGGAAGTTCTCTGTCACCCGTTATCATTCTTCTCCTCCAGCACTCTGATCCTCTCCTCTAGTGCTCTGTTCTTCTCCTGCTCCTGCTCTTTCTCCTGTTGATGTTGTCTCACCACAGTCCAGAGTGCAGACATGTCTCTCTACCTCCAGCTCTCCAGGTCTAGTTAAGGGGGTGTTGTTGTGCTGGACTGTTGTCTGGGTCTGTGCTGACTGGAGTGTGTTCACCTGCTGTTCCAGCTCCACCTGCCTTACCTCCAGCTGGGTGAATGTATCCTTCATTTCAATGAGGCAGTAGTACTCTGTGCTGGGAAGTTGACTTTCCGCTTGGGGTTGCTCTGTGGGGTTATTTAATGAAGAGGTCTGGTCTGACCCGCTCGGGGTGGGGGTATCTTTGTCAAGGGAGAGCTTCTCCTGCTGAGCTCTTTCTCTGTTTGGTGTTGCCCTGTACCAATACTGTTCCAGATTTATAGAGATTTATATTAGATGACTCAGAGTCCTCGTTGTCTAGTATCCTGAGTATGGTCTGTGTGGAAGATAAGGTTGCTTATGTTCCCACTTTTATAAAAGTCAGCAAAAAGGGTCTCCTGATTTCCCATAAGGAGCTTCATTTTGTACTATTTTCGTGTCTCTCTCTGTCTCTGTCTCTCTCTCTCTGTCTCTCTCTCTCTGTATCTCTCTCTCTGTCTCTCTCTCTCTCTCTCTCTCTCTCTCTCTCTCTCTCTCTCTCTGTCTCTCTCTCTGTCTCTCTCTCTGTCTCTCTCTCTGTCTCTGTCTCTCTCTCTCTCTCTCTGTCTATCTGTCTCTCTCTCTTTCTCTCTCTCTCTCTGTCTCTCTCTGTCCCTCTCTCTGTCCCTCTCTCTGTCTTTCTCACTGTCTCTCTCTCTGTCTCTCTCTCTGTCTCTCTCTCTCTGTCTCTCTCTGTCTCTCTCTCTGTCTCTCTCTCTGTCCCTCTCTCTGTCCCTCTCTCTGTCTTTCTCGCTGTCTCTGTCTCGATGTCTCTCTCTGTCTCGCTGTCTCTGTCTCTGTCTCTGTCTCGCTCTCTGTGTCTCTCTGTCTCTCTCTGTCTCTCTCTCTGTCTCCTGCTACCTGCTCATGTTTTTCTCCTCAGCCAACATACATCATGCACGCCTCACTAAGAGGTATGATGTAGACATTCATTATATCATATAGAACGGCATGTAGGCTTTATGGGTGTGTGTGTGTGTGTGTGTGTGTGTGTGTGTGTGTGTGTGTGTGTGTGTGTGTGTGTGTGTGTGTGTGTGTGTGTGTGCATGTTTGTCATGGCTAACATAAGAGAGAAGCTTTTATCTCTCTGAATTATACATACTGTAAAATGAAGTATGCTTGTCTGTTTTGAAGGCATAACATTACTGGGCTGGCAGAATGCATGTTATCTTTGGCATGCTGGGAAGCAGGTTAAGGTTAGGGTTAGGGTTTATGGTTATGTTTATGGTTAAGATTATGGTTATGGGTTATAGTAAAGGTGCTCTTACTGTGGTCTTCTCCAGGCAGTGCAGCAGGTGGTGGTGATGGCTCTCAAAGGGAATGTTGGGTTTTCCCACCAGGAGCTGCCCTGCTTCCTTGGACGCCTTGGGGTACACAGAGAAAAGACAGAGAATAGGTGAGGGAATAACTCTGAGCAGAGAAGTGTTAGGCATGGGTCAGCTGTAGAAAACCACACGCAGGGCTGAAATGAAGAAGCAATGGTTCTTAGATGACATCATGGAAGATACACTACATGACCAAAAGTATGTGCACACCTGCTCGTCGAACATCTCATTCCAAAATCATGGGCATTAATATGGTGTTGGTCCCCCCTATGCTGCTATAACAGCCTCCACTCTTCTGGGAAGGCTTTCCACTGGATGTTGGAACATTGCTGCGGGGACTTGCTTCTATTCAGCCACAAGAGCATTAGTGAAGTTGGGCACTGATGTTGGGCGATTAGGCCTGGCTCGCAGTCAGTGTTCCAATTCATCCCAAAGGTGTTCGATGGGGTTAAGGTCAGGGCTCTGTACAGGCCAGTCAAGCTCTTCCTCACCAATCTCAACAAACCATTTATGGTTGGACCTCGCTTTGTGCACGGGGGCATTGTCATGATGAAACAGGAAAGGGCCTTCCCCAAACTTTTGCGACAAAGTTGGAAGCACAGAATCGTCTAGAATGTCATTGTATGCTGTAGCGTTTAGATTTCCCTTCATGGCCTCCCGAGTGGCGCAGCGGTCTAAGGCACTGCATCGCAGTGCTAGAGGCGTCACTACAGATTCAGGTTCGATCCCGGGCTGTGTCGCAGCCGGCCGGACCGGGAGACCCATGAGGCGGCGCACAATTGGCCCAGCGTCGTCTGGGTTAGGGGAGGGTTTGGCCGACTGGGATGTCCTTGTCCCATCGCGCTCTAGCGAACTCCTTGTGGCGCATGCACGCTGACTTTGGTCGCCAGCTGTACGGCGTTTCCTCCAACACATTGGTGCGGCTGGCTTCCAGGCTAAGACATTGGTGCGGCTGGCTTCCAGGCTAAATGAGCAGTGTGTCAAGAAGCACTGCTGTTTGGTGGGGTCGTGTTTCAGAAGGACGCATGGCTCTTGACCTTCGCCTCTCCCGAGTCCGTACGGTAGTTGCAGCGATGGGACAAAACTGTAACTACCAATTGGATACCACGAGAAAGGGATAAAAAGCAATTAAAAAAAATATATATATATTTCCCTTCACTGGAACTAAGGGCCCAGCCCATACCATGAAAAACAGCCCTAGACCATTATTTATCCTCCACCAAACTCTACAGTTGGCACTATGCATTGGGGCAATTAGCGTTCTCCTGGCATCCGCCAAACCCAGATTTATCCGTCGGACTACCAGATGGTGAAGTGTGATTCATCACTCCAGAGAACACGTTTCCAGAGTCCAATGGCGGGGAGCTTTACACCACTCCAGCCAACGCTTGGCATTGTGCATGGTGATCTTAGGCTTGTGTGCGGCTGCTCGGCCATGGAAACCCATTTCATGAAGGTCTCGATGAACAGTTATTGTGCTGACGTTGCTTCCAGAGGCAGCTTCAGCACTCTGCCGTCCCCTTCTGTGAGCTTGTGTGTCCTACCACTTCACGGCTGAGCCGTTGTTGCTCCTAGACGTTTCCACTTCACAATAACAGCACTTACAGTTGCCTGGGGCAGCTCTAGCAGGGCAGAAATGTGCAAAACTGACTTTTTGGAAAGGTGGCATCCTATGACGGTGCCATGTTGAAAGTCACTGAGCTCTTCAGTAAGGCCATTCTACTGCCAATGTTTGTCT